TGATTAAAAGTTCTAAGAACATGTATTCCCAGTGTAAGTCGCAGACGATCTAGTTATAGTGACAGTGTTTGATATGAATATCCTGCCCACTTTGCATGGCCACTATGCCTTTTCACTATGATCTGCGTAGCAATGTGGTTGATGTGGGGGCATGGGAAAACTTGTGACTCTACGTTCAGTTTTTTTTTTTAAGCCTCTGTTCCAAAATACACAGCCTCCATCTCAACTTGGTTGTAATTAGTATGATAAGTAATTCATTTTTGTTAGGTTCCGTTTCAAGTATATATTTCGTTTGATTGCAGCTTACCCTCCGATATCAATTGATGTCACCTTCTAGAAATTCATTTAAAAAAATATATTGACGGGTTCCACATAAACGGAAAGCTTTAGTGGAAATTTGGCGCCAAGGTGTTGAGGAGATAAGATCAAAATTAACTTTTAGTTTAAGTTAAGGTCTTTTCTCAAGAGGAAACCGTTCTGATTGCAAAAAAATTAACTAGGTAAGTGATTGACCTCCTCCGATTTAATCAACATATTGTGCGAGTAGGGTGATCCAAAATGTCTCCTCCACATTTTCCAATCAATATCTTGTGTAAATTTGGCCTCCTCTCCTCCACTTCCTACTCTAAAGCTCGTCCTTCTGCGCTTGCAAGTCCAGCTTGTACTCCTTCACCTCTCGAAGGGTCTTTGCACTAGCTTGAGTAATCGCGTCGTTCTCTCCGTAGATCTGAACAGCGATGCGGTGGGCATGCTCCAGCAGTTTAATGGCCTCATCCACCTTCTTCTGCCGCATCTTGACGCCAGCCAGAGCGTTCAAACTGAACGCATACGATAGCGTATCCTCTCCATCGCGTTGCAGGAAGATGGCACTGGCGGTTTCTGCAGCTCTCAGAGCGTCATCAATCTCGCCCATGGCCACATGCGCCGTCGACAGCTCCATGTAGAGCTCAGCGATACCCGTCGTCAATCCATTGATCTCTCCTCCTTGGGCCTTCACAGTGTCCTTAAGCACCTTTAGGTTTTTCTTTTTATTCCCCAACTTCTTGTATCCCTCCGCAATCCTCATCGAAGCCTCAATGTACGCTTCGTGAGTCGCTCCGAGCCCCTTTTTGACATGTTTGCGGAGGGTTTTGTACTTTTTAATGGCCGTCTTGTACTCTTCCTTAGCCATATACGCGTCCGCCAAGCTACGCAGCGACAGACCGAGCGACGGATGGCTGTCACCGTAAATCTTCTCTACCATCGCCACAGAATCCTCGAGCACCTCAATGGCTTCGTCGTACTGCTTGGCACGGATAAGCACCGTGCCGTAGTCGTTGAGGATCTGGGCGTAGAGCGCCGCGTCCTGCGAGATGTCGCTGGGGTCTGTGACAGCGTGGCGTCCTTCACCAAACACTCGGTCGTGTAGTAATGTAATGGCCCCGCGAAGCTTCTCAATGGAGCCTTTGAAGTCCTTCGCGTCGTTGAGCTTCATGCCGGCATTCCGCAGTCCACGGATCTCCTGGATTACAGGGTCATTGTCGCGCGGATTGGCGCTGGATGTGGGCTCTGGTGTCTTGGGCGCATCCTCGGCAGCGTAGACAGAGGTAGTAAGGGTGATTAAGAGCAGCAGCGCCCATAGGAACGTCACGCGTAGCACTCGCATCTTCGTTGATGAACTTTGCCACGTATGCGTACTTAAGACGTACTTAACGACAATAATTTTTTGTGCATAATTGAGACTTCGATGGCTAAGAAGAAGAGCAAGAAGACGGCAAGCATTGAAGGCGCTGTGGACGCGAACCAGACGTCGGATGGTGGAAATAATGGGCTAAAGAGGATTGCAAGACTCTTTACTGCTATGCAGGAGAAAGGTACGGCCTGGTATGGCCGAGAACGCGAGGGAATCGCACTGATCGAAGGGTTCCAGTCGGCGCTGCTGGCCGTTCGAGAAGCTCAAGCGGCAGCTACAATTGATACAGTGCAGGAGAAGGGAAAGAAAGATAGTGTGGTGCTTGCTGGACTCGCTGGCAATGCGGAGATGGATCCGTGGCTAGCTGAGGATCTGTACCAGCAGGTACAGGAGCTTTCAGGAAGCTTCGAGGTGCTGCTAGAGGAGATGTACACGCTGCAGGCTGAAGCGCGAGGCATCGGTGAGTAGATCCAGTAAGTAGAGACTAGGATATTGATCTGACTGTGTCTTGTGTTGATAGTACTGGCTGTGGGTGGTGAAGACGAACAGCAAATTGTCGCCATAGAGCTGAGGCCTGTAGACTACCTTCAGATGATGAGTCAGGAGCTGGCGACGTTCGAAGCCGAGTACCAGCACATCGTACGTTGCAGTGTTTTGTAGTATGGTTTGTCATAGCTGTTGCGTGTAGCTGTGTTGCTGATGGAGTTCGCTGCCTTATGGTCAATTGCAGGAAGCACTGTTGCAACTTATCTCGTTCGAGACGTCCACGGACGAGCTGCGTACGCTCGTTATCTCCTGGAGCACATCGCCGTTCCTCGATCCTGCCCAGAGTCGCAATTTCCTTCAGGTAGAGTCGCCTATCTTCCTATAGCATTCACACCAGTGCTCACTCCAAAATTTCTTGTTACGTAGCGACACCAGCTCTCCCAGCAGATACACGCATAATGCAAAAGGTCACACGCGTGTCCACAGATAATATAGACCGTATTTGCCATGCTCTTTAGTCACAGCTCTTCTGTATCGCTTCTATTGAGTCGCGACGAACTGTGCGCACAGGTCGTTTACATCCTCAAGACACAAACTCGAAACGAAATCTCGCTGCGCCTGGTTACCACGACAACAGAAACCCGTTAGTGTCGCGTCAATAGTGTACATGGCTTTCTAAAGCAGCGGCATCACCTTCTCGAGCTGTTGCTGGATCTTGGCCGTCTCGTTGGATGGGAAATACGGCGCCAGGAACTTCTCCAGCGCCTCCTCCACGGAGTCTGTGGGTTTGATGTCGCTCTCCTGGCCGGCGGGGATGAAGATGCCGGAGCTCGCGGGCTGCGTGGCCGGCTCGTCATCGTACTAAGTGACAGAATGCGAACAAATGTTAAATACTCGTACGAAGCATGTACTGAGGCCTAGAACGCCGTAATTCCGCGTCTACAAGCGGGATATAAAGCTCAAGACGTTCGCATACCATGTCATTCCATTGCACGCGGCAGTGCGTCTTCTTGCGCACCACGGGGTATCGCTCCAACAGACGCAGGAACTCGCCCTCGTCCATGATGATCTATCCCTCTAAGTTCGTCTTAGGTTCGCAGAAAAAGCTCGTGGTTCTTAACGCGATAGCGCAAACGCAGTCAAAATTTTCCTTTTACTTTCACTATTGGGTTAAAAACACATCAATTCTAACAAGTTTGCCATTCAACGTCAACTGCCAACCGTCACTTTGCCATTCGACCCATCGGTGCATCAACATCAACATGTCGGCCATGCCTCCTGCCCCCGTGCCCAAGAAATCGGACGAGCGCCTGCTGTTCGCCGTGCCCAAGAAGGGCCGTCTGCATGACAAGATCCTTAAGTTGCTAAAGGGCGCGGGTCTGGACTACCACCGCCCCAACCGCGTGGACATTGCGCTGTGCTCTAGTCTGCCTGTCACGCTCGTGTTCCTTCCGGCCTCGGACATCGCCACGTACGTGGGCGAGGGTAACCTGGACCTGGGTATTACAGGCCAGGATATCATCGCTGAGAGCCGCACCAAGGTGGATGAGCTGCTGCCTCTGGGCTTCGGTAAGTGCTCGCTGGGCGTGCAGACGCCTGTTAAGGACGCCATCGCATCACCCGAGCTGCTAGCGGGTAAGCGCATCGTCACGTCCTTCCCGGAGGTCACGCGCGAGTACTTTAAGCAGTTCGAGACCGAGGCTACAGGTCCCACTAAGATTAAGTACGTCTCCGGGTCGGTGGAGGCCGCTTGCTCACTGGGATTGGCTGATGGTATCGTGGACCTAGTGGAGACGGGCACGACCATGAAGGCCGCAGGTCTGGAGCTCATCTCCACTATTCTTAAGACGCAGGCGGTGCTGATTGCCAACCCGCAGTCAGCGCGCAAGGACCTGGTGCACAAGGTGCACCAGCGCATCCTGGGCTACATCACGGCCACTAAGTACAGGATGGTGACGTACAATGTGGACAAGGAGAAACTGGACGCAGCCACCAAGATCACCCCGGGACGTCGCTCCCCGACGGTAAACGGACTTGTGGGTGGCGGATACGCCGTGTCTGCTATGGTCGAAGTCAAGGACGTGTCCGACGTCATGGACCAGCTCCACGACGTGGGCGCCACCGACATCATGATCTTCAACATTGAGAACTGCCGCGCCTAGACTGTTAGAAAACGTTTAGTCATGCCGTGACAATCAATACAGATCATTTTTTGCTTAAAGGTTGACGCGCAGTGTCGGCTGGAACGTCCTAGTTGTCGATGGTGGTGGTTGGTTTGATGCTCTGGCTGAGTGTAAACGTTGGATCCCGGTCTGAGACGTCGTTGCGGAGGTTGATTTCTGGTATTTGGGTGCTTTGAATGGATCCAGGCTTTGATCAGCGAGTTGTTGCTGGGTATTGATTCTAGTGGCCTTTGCAGCACTATCAGCGATGCTACTTTTGCTGGTATAATTGACGTCTTTGAACCAGCTGGACGGATATACGTTGGCTGCAAAGTTATCAACATCAAACGTTAAGCCTGAACGTTGTCGACGTTGACCACCCAGTTGATTTCGACGTTTCCAATTAGCCTCAACTTGTTTTCTCAATGCTGGCGATAACCCGGACGGGTCCTCTTCCATGTGAGGTTCTGGCCACGCTTTCTCTTTCGGATTGTCCACGACTGAAGATGAACCGAAGTTATTGCTACGATGTTCCATCGTGAAGTTGCTGAGTCTCCATAGTTTATTGTTGTCAACAGCAGGTCTCGCTGGTTGTTGCACTGTAGACTGCCTTCTAGCAGCCGCCAAAAGCTGTTGCTGCTCTCTTCTTTGCTGTGTAAGTCTCCCTCGTGCAGTGTCAAGCTGTCGAATCTGAGCATGCAACCTTTGTTCTCGAGCTTCCATTTCTTTTCTCCCGCGTTCGAGTGACCGTTCTCGACTGACAAACGACGTGTCAGTATCTTGCACCATCGCGGCCTGTTGAGCCACAAGTTGCTCGCGTTCCAATAACTCACGCGTCCCAGCGTCGAGTTTCTCCGCTAGTGCTACAACCTCTTGCGTGCGTTCAGCAAGACGCGCTTCTGCGTCTTGAACTTGTTGCCGCATGTTCTCAAGCGCTTGAAATTCCTCTTCGTGACTAGCAAGCTCTGTTTCTAGATCCTCACGGTCAGCACGAAGCTCTCGCCACGCGTCTTCAAGCGCTAAGCGCGACGCTCGAAGCTCCTCGTGCTCATGTTCAATCTCTAACGCAGTTTGTTCGCGGAAGGCTGCGAACTCCGCTCTAGCTTCATATAAAGCACGTTCGTCGCGTTCCAATTGCGTTCTTCTGGTTACTAAACGTGCTTCATATACTCGAGCATCCTCGCGAGCCTCAGCTAGTTGCTTCACCATATACGTAGCGTGTGTAGCCTCTTGGTCCCTCAACGCGGCAGTTTGAGCCTGGAGATGAGCACTAAGTGCGTCTAGACGCTGCTGTTCTTGTCGTAGACGCTCCTTATCCTCTAGAGCTCCTTGTCGAGCGTTACGTGCTCCAGCCTCGAGTTCTCTCAGCAACTCTGCGAGCTTCAGTCGCTCCTGTTCCGCGTGTTGAGCTGCACGCTTTGAACTGCCCTCCAACGAGGCGATCACTCGAAGCCGAGCCTCATCTTCTGCAGCGACACGTGCTGCGGAATTATCAAGTCCTAAGCCTTCCTCTTGTACTTGATGCGAAATAGTGAGCCGAGCTAATGCACGTTGCATCTGCGCACTAAGAGCCTCAAGCGCGCGCTTCTCTCGGTGGCGCTCTAACTGGTCGGCTTCGTCCTGTTCGGCCATTTTCCGAGCTAGCGTCAACTCTGCATCCTGTACGGCTCGTTTCGAGCGGGATAACTCTTCACGTAGCGCTCGTATCTCGGTTTCTAAGAGCTCAACTCGATGTTGATGGTTTGCAGCGTCCTCTTTACAGCTTAAAATGAGCTGATCGGCTTGAAGTTTATCACGTTCAGTTGCTGCGAGTTGTTGAGTAAGTTGAGTGTTAGCTGCTACACGCGCTTCAAGTTGCTGCGATAGTTGGTTAACTAATGCTTGTCGCTCTTCCAGTTGATGCGATAGTTGGTTAGCAAACGTTTCTCGTTCCTCCAGTTGCTGGGTTAGTTGTTGCGTCAGTTGACTGTTGGACGTTGTTTGAGTTTCCAACTGTTGTTGGAGTTCAGCGAGTTGTTGTTGCAATGCAGCGCGCTCGATTTCGAATGTTGCTGTTAGTTTTTTTTCGCGTTCATCACAGTTGCAAACCACTTTCATTTCTTGGATTTCGTCGTTTTTACCAACTTGAAGTCGATTTGGCTTCTGCTTAAACGTCTTCGCTTCTTGCTTAATCTCCGCTGGTTATGATTTTATGACAATTGGCTCTGGTGTTGATGGTTCTTCTTGTACTTGAGCTTTCTGCTCTTCCTCTTCATGTATCGGCTCTTCCGCGACTTCAGCGATACTGTCTTCTACATCAAAAGATTGAGAGTACGAGTTGCGTCGATGCGGGCTGCTGTGGGCAGAGGCAGCCGGCGAGAATGGCAAAATTTCCTCTAGAAGATTGTCTTTCGACTGTTCGAAGTTACTTTCGAGCGCACCTTTGCCGGTTGTCAAAGTTCGAATACGTCCTGGTGATGGTGGAGTTGTCGGTCTTTCACTTGTTAGAGGTGGTGATGTTTCTACCAATATCTCCGGGACTGAAGCCAGAGGTTGTGATTGAAGTGGGGAGGGTGGCAAAGAGCTCTTAAACGGATCTTCTACTTTGGTCATTTCCTTGTTGGGCGAGCTGTCGTTGCTGTTAGTGCCGCGACTGCGACGTCGTGACGATACAGGTTCTCTTGGCTTAGGAGGCGATAGGCCCCCTAACAAGTCCATAAGTAAGCTGTCTCTAGCGCTAGCAACGTCGGATTTTGAACTTTCAGGTAGTACAGAGTCAACGAATGACTCCTCTTTCTTCGGCGGAGTCAGTTCAGTGGGGGGTGTCGATGGCTTTGTCTCCACAGATGCAGATTTCTTCGGTTCCTCTTCTTTTTCCTTCGGTTTATCGTATACTGCGTTGTTGGTAGGGGTTAAGAAAAGCTCGGCCAAGAGGTCATTTTGCTGCTTTCCTGGATCTGCAGATACGGGTAGAATCGTTGATACAGGGTCAGACGGTAACTCCACTTTCGTTTTCTTTTCATCAACTGTTTCTTCATTCTTTAAGAGCGAAGATTCTTGCTGACGACGACCTCCTCGAGCACTACTGCGTGGCTCTGATGGAAATAAATCTGCCAGGAGATCGTCTTTTGCTGACAAACGCTGGGTAGGTAGAGGAGAAGGATCAGCTTGAACTTGACTTGCTTTCCTTTCTTCAACGTGTTCTTTTACACTCTGTCTTGTATCGATGTCATCTGATGAATCTCGTGTAGGTTTGGCGAACGGATCGTCAAAACCACCTCTCCTACTGCTAGGCCCTCCAAAGAGCGAGTCAAAATTTGAGGTGGATGTCGTAGCCGAGGTCCCTACACCAAAAGGGTCCGAATCAGCGCCACCTACTTGCCTTCTGCCTCGAGTTCCACCTCGACGATCAGTTGATGTACCCAACATTGAAGACAGTGACGTCGAATTCATGTTACCTTTTGTATCATCTTGAAAGAACGACGCAGAGATGCCATCACTTGGTTTGGCAGATTCATTTGCATCAAAAGTGGGAGGTACTTCAACCTCACGAGACTTATTGGATCCACGAACTGTTGGAGTATACCCTGATATCCCAAACGTATCATCATTCCCGTCGTCTCTTTTTCCGAATGGTTCCGGTGACAGCGGTGGAGACTCAGTAGTTCCAATATCTGTACCACCAATATCGCCGCCAAGCATTTTGGCGAATTCATCATCCAATCCACCCCCAATCTTCCCACCGTTCTTCCGTCTTGCAGCAGCAGCGGCAGCCATTTCCAGCTCGGCAGTGCTATCCCAGTTCTTCGTCGAAGACGTCCAGTTGTCAGTATCGTCGCCAAAGTCATCGTCGTCGAAGGCGTTTTTCTTCGACTTGGACTTGCTCTTCTTCTTGCTGCTACTGGAACTTTTAGCTTTATCCTTGTCTTTGGATTTGTGTTTTTTCTTGTCGTCGCTCTTGTCCTTCGAAGACGATTTCGACTTTTTCTTACTCGAGTCGTCACCCAACAGATCGCCTACGTCGAAGTCGGACATATCGACGTCCACATTGTCGCGAGCTCCAGAAATCGAGATCAGGCCACTTGTGAGATCGTTTCCTCCGCTCTTCTTGGGACCAGAACTGCCTTTAGAGGCGCCACCGATCGGTATAAGATCGTCTAGCGGCATCGCCTCCTGTACAGCTTCAGCCCTCGATCTGTGGTTGTTCTTAACCAAATCGTATCTGATGCTCTAGCGTTGAAGCAATCGTTTCATTGTCAACTTCCTCCACTTCCCAATTGCGATAAAATAAGATAAATTTGGTACTCGAAAGGTAACACTTTTTTTTTCTTTAAGAGTGGCTCATTTCCAACGTGCGTTTGAAACACCATTGGTTCATTCGTCTGCAACGGCGGCAACTTGCACAACCATCACTCCTGTCTGCTTGGTGCGTCAACCTATACGATTACGAAAACAAAAATTGCCAGAATGGGGGTATATAAAATCGATTTTGTGAGTCAAAGATCATCTAAACTACTCCGATTTTGTCGGTACTTGCCTTTCAGCCAATCATCGATTGGAGACTACAAGTGTCGACCTCAGCAAAATGCTATGCGTCATCATCGTGCTCCGAATAGAAGACCCCTACGAACCACAAGATTAGCAGCGGTGACCTGGCAAACATTATGCCTCCTCGCACTGATCGCAAACAGTGCTGTATGCTGCCATGTTGCCAACAAATGGCACTTGTGCCAGTCAAGCGGCGAGATAGCCATATTTAGCTCGGTGCAGCTACACGACTGGTGTGGAGTGCTTATTAATACTGAAAGGTCAAGAAACCGTCGAGGCAGCGCCACAAAATCGCTCGAACTTCGTTGTCCGAAGCTTAGCAGTGGATAATGCAATGGACCATCGAATACGTCGCAGTAGCTCGTCAACAATTTCGATACCGTAGCTAAACGCGCTGCTCTGCTCTCCCGTGGACAGCGGCCAAACACCAGCATTTTTTCCGTAAGAAAGCACCTGTCATCTGTTATTCGCCTTCATCATTCGATGCATCGTATCTCAAAAATATCAAGTTCCACAGGCTCCCTTCGGACCCAACGTGCCAAGTCGAGTGATTGCGTGTCGTCCTGCTCACTCCCCAATCAGTCCGCCAGGCCATAAGGTGCTCAGAGTCAGACGGCTAAGCGCGACGAGACCATCACGCTGTCTCTCACCTCGTTGGGAGTCCTGTACGTATAGATCAATAGACACGGCACCCATGACGCAGCTACAGAAGCCCCAGAAGCCCGTGGTGGACATCGCGCAGTCCTTCAAGCACGTGCCGGTTCTGGACGCCGACGCCCCCGGCCTCACGTGTCTAGGCGACCAGGTCACCACGACGTTCGTGGCCGAGACAGCGTTGCCCACGGATGGCGGCATGTTCCGCGTACGCGCCTACCGCTCCGTTGGCTCACTGCGCGAGAGCGAGCCCATCGCCATGATCACCGGAGACGTACGCGGCAAGCGCAACGTACCAGTTCGCGTGCACGACCAGTGCTTCACGTCGGAAGTGTTCGGCTCACTAAAATGCGACTGCAGGGAGCAGTTGGACTACGCCAAAGCGTACACCAAGCAGCACGGCGGCGTGGTCATCTACATGCCACAGGAGGGTCGTGGTATCGGTTTGGCCAACAAGATCATGGCCTACTCCATGCAGGAACGCGGTCTCGATACGGTGGACGCCAACCGCGTATTGGGCTTCAAGGACGACTATCGTTCGTATGAGCCTGTGCCAGCGATTCTCAAGGACTTGGGCGTCCAGTCTATTCGACTGCTGACCAACAACCCACGCAAGATCCGATTACTGAGTCAACTTGGCATCACAGTCGAGGGACGACTGCCCGTGGTGATCAAGGGCGGCGAGTTCAGCCAAGGATACCTAACGGCGAAGGCCAAGCGGATGTCGCACTTGCTGCCTGCGGACGGCAGTGGTGAAGATACGTCTACTGACGAGAGTCAGGACGAAGAGGAGCAGCAGACGAACCCACAAGAAGCTGTAGCAACCGCATCACCGACGGCATCGTCGTCCTCGTCCTCTGGAGAATATTAGCGGAAATCCGCCTTAAAATTAAGCGGGAAGACGATCATATCAGCGGGTGCTGGGGATGGATGGCTTGGCCACGAGGACATCGATGACCTTCGCGTGCAATGCCCTCCCAGCCCCTTGTCGACCAGCCCGTCCCAGTCTTCCTCGCCGTCGTGTCCAGCTTCAACGTTGAGCGAGCAGTGCTTGAAGCTGAGTGAGCGGCATTTTTTGAAGTGGGAAACGACCGCGACTCGAACAAGCTGTAGACTATTTAGCACGCCTAGCAGCGCATTGAACAAACATCATCATTATGCCAAGTTATTCACGTTGCTCATCCAAGAGGACGAGGCGATCTTTGACGCATATCAAGTGAATCAGTTTGGGATCAGTTGACATGGGAACTGAAGTGAAACCGCAGGAAAACGAACAGTCACACGATTGGTTAATACTCAACCAATCACATCCAGCTATTTTGCTATTTCAATATTACCCAATCCTATTGCTACACGGCGGTTCCTCCCTCCATTTCAAAGCTAACAAGCTGAGAAGTGCGTTTACTTTCGCGTCAAGGCACGGTTGGTAGCTTCTCCTGGGCAATTCCATTATCCCTTTCCGCTGGACGACGAAGAAGAGGACGCATTTGAGCACCAGTACCGCTGAAAACCCCGCCTGAAACCGTGCTGTAGGCGCAGAAATCAAGACTTAAACATGCTGGATGATAATCGCAAAATTGGCACACTGCTGCTCGGCTTGGGCTTCGCGTTCCTGATGCTGGGCGTGCTCATGATCTTCGACGCAGCCATGCTGGCACTTGGCGACGTGCTGTTCCTGAGCGGTGTGGCGCTCACCATTGGTCTCTCGCGCACGGTGCGCTTCTTCACGCGCAAGGAGCGATGGCGCGGCATCGTGTGCTTCTTGGGCGGCATTCTGCTGGTCATGCTGCGCTACCCGGTGATCGGTATGATTATCCAGAGTTTCGGATTTCTCAACCTGTTTGGCTCCTTCTTCCCTGTGGCTGTGGCATTCCTGCGCCAGACGCCTGTGATCGGTAATGTGCTCAACCTGCCGGTGATCAGCGAGGTTGTCGATCGACTAGCGGGAGCACAGAAGCGCGGATACCAAGTGTAATTGCAAGTGTTTTGGCGATATGGAGATATAGGAGAAGAAGTGATAGAAGCACAAGCGCAATGGGAAGTTCTCGAGGAATGATAATGTGCGAGATATTTGACTGCCATGTTCATGTAGCATTTTCAGAGAAAGCTTGTCAAACTGCTTTAACTGTTGCGAACATGTTAGCATGAAATTTTAGGTGGTTATGCTAAAAAGACTGATCGCCTGTGGTGTGTTAGTACAGATCTTGTCGTAGCGTTCGCTTCTGAAGCTCTATCCTCGTCACTCAAAGACTGTAGCTTGTTGTCACGCGTGTCGTGATGACTTACAGTGTCTCAATCAACAGCCCCATCCTGCCCTCGTTCCAGCCTCCCCGCCATTCAAGCTGACTCACGCGATCGCCTCGCGTCTCCATTGCATGTTGCTCGCCGTGTTTAATTCGCAGTGGTACTCTCAACTTTGACTTGTATTTTGTCCAATCCAAACTCATAAAGTATATTTTCAGCCAATCCACATCCACCTCACTGCAGATGTGCTCGCCAGCCAAGCCGTCACTTTAGAATCGGACACCGACGCAGTAGATCACTATGCCTGCCAGCTTCTTCAGCTCTCTACGCGACCGCGTAGCCGCCGTGGACTCGCTCTTGTGTGTGGGTCTTGACCCTCACGTAGCTGAACTCCCTGAGGCCACCGCCGCTGCGGCGCAGACCTTCTGCCTCAACATCATCGAGCAGACGCACCACGTCGCGGCCGCCTACAAACCCAACTCGGCTTTCTTCGAGGCTTTCGGTGCCGAGGGTATCACCGCGCTCCACGCCGTCATCAAGGCTATCCCCGCTGGCATCCCCGTCCTTCTAGACGCCAAGCGTGGTGACATCAGCACCACAGCCGCTGCGTACGCCGTCTCCGCCTTTGACAAACTCGAGGCGCACGCCATCACACTGGCCCCATACATGGGCGCAGACTCCATCGACCCGTTCGTACGCGGTCACCCTGAACGCGGCTGCTTTGTGCTGTGTAAGACGTCGAATCCTAGCGCGAACGACTTCCAGACGCTGCCCGTGGGCTCGCGTGCGCTGTTCGAGGAGGTGGCAGCCAAGTGCGAGCAGTGGAACTCCGAGGACAACGTCGGTCTCGTAGTGGGCGCCACGGACGTTGAAGCGCTGCGTCGTGTGCGCGCTGTGACGCCCAATCTGTGGATCCTGGCGCCTGGTATCGGCGCCCAGGGTGGCAATCTGGAGGAGGCCGTGACGGCCGGTCTGTCAGCCGACGGCCTGGGTCTGCTCGTGCCTGTATCGCGTGGTATCTCCAAGGCCGCCAACCCCAAGGAAGCGGCCGAGTCTCTGCGTGACGCCATCAACGCTGTTCGCAAGACGAAAGTGGCTACATCGACCATTGTAGCCAAGTCGAGTGCCAACGAGTTCATTAAGTTCGCACTGTCGTTCGGTGTGCTTAAGTTCGGTGACTTTACGCTAAAATCGGGCCGTAAAAGCCCCTACTTCTTCAACGCCGGGTTGTTCCGCACTGGTCGTGCACTCGGTCAGCTCGGCAAGTTCTACGCACAGGCGATCCATGTACGTTGGATACAGTGATGAAATCTATGAAGATACTAATGTTTTTTTTATTGTAATTTATAGGATAGCGGAGTGGAGTTCGATGTGCTGTTCGGTCCGGCCTACAAGGGCATCACACTGGCGGCTGCTGTGGCCATCGCGTACGCTGACATGTACGGCGTGGACATTCCCTTCGCGTATAACCGCAAGGAGGCCAAGGATCATGGCGAGGGAGGCGTACTCGTCGGTGCCGATATGACTGGCAAAAAGTAAGTTGCAATGGTTTTTTTTTTAGTTTTTTTTTTACGTGATTTTTATTTATTGTGTTTTTTTCTTGAATAGGGTGCTGATTATTGACGACGTGATCACGGCTGGCACTGCTATTCGTGAGGCTTTCGGGATCTTGGAGAAGACGAACGCGCAGGTCTCGGGTGTTTGTATCTCGCTGGACCGTCAGGAGAAGGTTTCGATCGAGGACACCCGCTCTGCTATTGACCAGGTGAGGGAGAGCTTCGGTATCCCAGTGATCAGTATTGCCACTCTCGACAACCTCGTGGGTTACCTTGAGACCGTGGACGCAGAATCGGATGACAACGCTTCGTACCTGCCGGTCATCCGTACCTACCGCGCCGAGTACGGCGTATCCAAGCAATAGATTGCTACAGTTTTAAACTCGCAGTCATAATAAAAAAGCGATGTGAACGTCCTACATGCGTTGTATTTGTTTGCTGTAAACGTTAAAGTCCCAGGGAGAACAGACTTGCTCAAACAAATTCACTGGCCTCGGGAGCCTCTGGCGGCGGTAACGTGTTGGACATTCTCGGGCTATCATCCGCTGCAACTGCGCTCAGGGCAACGACAGCAACAACGAGAGCGATGAGCTTGGTGAGCTTGAGCATATTGAAGGCTTGACTTGATTGAATATTAACGCGGCGGCAAATTGCGTTGTGATATGGACGATCGTTTGATTCGTTCACTTACTTTATCGAGGAAATGCCATGTTGTTTATTGGAGCCAAGCTCGTACTAAGGTACGTAAATTCTTCCCATACTGTTCTCTGATGCAAAGCGAAATTGAATTGGACGATGAAGCGAATGCCCTTTACCAAATTGTTTATCAGCAGACGCAACGAATAACAATCTTTTTTTTTTGCTTTGCTCTACAATTTAAAACGAATGTACAGTGAATTGTTACCATCGCGTTCCTTTTATTTCTCGATAGAGGCGATGTTGATCACAGGGATATCAAAGCTTATTATCCTCGATCGAAACCTGTTTCTGTGGAAACTCACACTCGAAATCTGCGTGCACACTTGATGAGCTCGTTAGAAGGAGTCCTTGTGTACACAATATGGCATCGACGCCGTGGATGCCATATTGTTTACACTAGGATTCCTTCTATTGTTTTATGATCAATCCACATGTGACGATCCGAAGAGAGTTATCTGCTCCTCGGCTGCTTGGGTAAACAACATGGTATCGCCAAGCCAAGTTGCAGACAAGCAACAAGGGTGTTTCCGTTTATGGACTCGAACGATCGTCCGTTTATTGACTTTGCGCTCTCCACTACTCAATTTGCCGCCGCACCAACACCCGAAGCAGGTCAAGCTTCAAGATGCTCAAGCTCACCAAATCCTTCACACTCGTCGTCGTTGCTATTGTCGCCATGGGCGCGTGTGCAGAGGACAAGTTTGATGTCCATATCCCAGTGAAAGGCCCGCTAGAAATCCCCGACCCACCACGCGGACGCACGGCTGATGAGCAGGTTTGAATACGTCCGTACTTCGGTAACAAAGGTTGAACTCTTACAACCACATAGGAAACAGCAAGAGACAATTAATCAATCTGCTTTTTTGCTCGGGACTTGACGGTCACAATGATCTATGTACTGTATTATGACTACAGACGAATGTAGGTGTACTGAGAGAAGCTACCAAATCGATTTGCATTTTGTTTTTAAATAACTACCAATCAAATCGTCTAATAATTCAAACGTTTTTATCCAATAAAAAATATTCAATCACCAACCAATCGAGCGGCTATCATTGCCAACAGCTCCGGTCGTCAAGCATGTTCCAGCGTCGAGTGATCGCGAGTGCCAACGCCGTAGAGCGCGTGGCCAGCAACCGCCAGATCCGCCGCAAGACACGCCACCCGGCCAACCTTCGTGCACTGCAGCGCCAGCCTCAGGAGGAGGTGGTCGTGCCGCCGCTCAAGTACGAACCGACGTATGTTCCGGAGAAGGTGAGCTTCAATGGCTGGTCCCCAGCCCCAGAGGCGCCGCTGCCTGGCCTGCCGTTCCACGTGAAGCGTACAGCTGTGGGCCTGCAGCTTCCAGTGTACAGGGACTTTAGAAACGGCCGCACGCGCGTGCTGACTATCCTGCGCCGCTACAAGGGCGACGAGCAGGAGCTGCGTGACGAGATGTCCAAGGTGTGTCAAGGCAAGGAGGTGATCGTGCGTCCGGGCCGCTTGGAGGTCGTGGGCGACCACGCTAGCGACATCCGCAAGTGGCTTGTGGGTCTGGGCTTTTAAAAGAAGAAGAGTCTGATAAAAACATAGACAACAGACTTTGTTTTGGTAAGAAACAGAATCAATCGGGTCCTTGTCAATGGAAATTCGTGTTTTATTGCAGACTGTTACAACGAGTGCATTCCGTACACATCGGCAACTACGTTGTTAAGAATATCAGACACACTGACATCTGAGCACGCGACGAGGATCAGATCCTTCTCAATAGGCAAGAAGTACGGGAACGTAGCGCGGTTCATCGACAGGTTACACAGCGTAGCGACGATAATCCGAGCGGCTTCCGGCTACAATGATAAACACACAAAATAAGAAACAAAAAAATAATAAAAAAAAGGAAAAAAAAAACTCACCCTTCCAACACACGAAAGGAGCGAGCCTGCCAATCGACGCATGCATCTTGGATGTTGAGCCACCCGGAGTTTTGAATCATCATCATAGTCAGAAAGACGGAAGAGAACTTCCAATGCAGCGTCACGCATCTCATGATCCAGTTGGTTCCCTTCGTCGAACGCCACTGAGGCTGCATGCGCCCCACCGACATGAGGTGACGACGTAGTGTGACGCACACCCTCTGGACTCACGTATACGACGCCCATACCCACACCTGACGGCAGTCCGTCATTCTCCCAGGGTGCAGGCCACCTGCTATTATCATCTCCATCGGTCATATCATCTTCCGAGTCGGACTCTGCGTCCATGTCATAGTCTGCTTCAGTCGGAAATTCGTGACTTTGTTGCGTTTTATGCTTCGATCCACGCGGTAGAAACTCCTGTCGTGAACAGCCGAGCAACGCCACCACACGGTCAAGTAACGCTGGATCTTGAAGAGCTTGACTGGAAGACAGGAACTTCTTAATGGCTACATCTCGACATACATTCGTGAGTAGTTCACAGGCTCGAAGTACGATAGATCGACGCTGTTGCTTGAGTTCTCGGTCCACCAGGATGCGACGTAGCTCACGGAGTAGACATTCCAAGGGCAGAACGCGTTCCTTTTTCCATAGTTGGGAGGTTAGTTGGTACTGTGGATGCCACACTTCAAGTGTAGCTGGCGGATGAAGCGCCAAAAAGTCGATACGCTTCGAGATGGCGCACAATGTATCCAACACATGGTCACCGATGTCCACAGCAGCTCGTGACCGACCAGTACGAGAGTTCCGGGCGTCACTAGTGTTCACATAACGTAACGCCATAATGAAGAACACGCACAACTCGTCGTGTGCAGCGATCGGCTTCTCGTTCGCACCGATGATTGCCAAGTTGCGTAAAATGTTTAAAACAAGCAGAGCCTTGGAGTCCAGCAGTTCACGCTCGCCGTCATCTACTGCGAGATTCAATAATCTGCGTCGTGCAGACTGTTGCTGCATTTCCTGCTCATCTGGCAGCAATTTGCACGACACTAACTGGCGATACAAAGCGTCCAATAGACCCGGCACATTATCCACCAATAGCTCGTTCTCATTCGCCGTAGCGTTGGCATTCGATGTCGCCGTGTTCTGATGCTCCTCCGCTCCGTCTCCGTAGGATAATACAGTCAGCAGATTAAGTGCTGACAGCACTTGCTCTGGGATATCTGAGTCTAATGCCAGCACGATGTTATGCAGCGTTCCAAGGTGCGTCTGGAGCTCTCGTTGAGCTTTGAACCTCTTGTTAGCTCGAGGCAATGGGGTTCCGCCCATACCGCCCTGTGCATCCTGAAGATCCTGTGTTGTGGCCACGGGGGCTGTGTCACCGTCTGTTTCTTCTTGAGCGCGGCGCTTGCTCGGCAGTACATTCATAGTGGTCTCGGAAGGTGGGAGGTCTCGTCCGAAGAGCTGTTTCTCCTCGAATGCTCGCAAGTAGCGGTCGTAGTGGGCTGCTAACTGGTAAGGCATGAGTCCTTTGATGTTAAGCCCGTTTGGACCCAGAATTTCGGGCCATTGTTGACGCTGAGAGACTATAGTGAACCCCCCACGAGCCACTACTTCTTCGTACAACTTGAGCCAGTCGATAGCAGCGCCCGTGGGCGTTTTAGGAAGAGATTGCAGAAGAGAAACCTCGTTGCGGCCTTCGACGAACTTTACCCAGTCGCGAAGAGTGCTCTCACGCGCCGCATCGCCCCGACAAGTGAGCTGAAGTGCCAGCAGCGCCTCCTTCGCTGTTGGTGCCATTGTGGTTATTCTTGGGAATGTATACAGCATGTATACACCATTTATGTAATTTTAACAATCTAAAACGCTGATTCGATGATTGGTAGAAATCCACCGAGTGGACATTTCAACCAATAAGCTCAACTGTGTATGTGATTGGTAGAAATAACAACAAATCTACGTGAGCCCTGATGTTGAAGAGCTTTTCCTAACGGGGCCCAAACCAGACGGACCTGTCTCCAGTTGTCCCAGTGCACTCTATCTCTTCTCGCCGAGAACTCACGTGAATTCAGACACAGTCATGAGCGAATATGACGTGGCTGCCATGTTCTCCAAACACTCGGCGCGAATTATCCAACAGCATCGCAGCAGCAGCAGCATCGGGAACGAGTCTCCAAGACTGACTGATCTTGAAGAGACAGATGACACTCACAGTGTCCAGAGTGCTCCTACGAGTTCTTCTCGCCCAATGGTCAGTCGTAACGGTCTGTCACGACCAGTGACTGCCTCACTGAGTCTTGAGGAGGTACAACAGCAACTCGAAGAGCTTGAGAACGCTCCAGCTCCAACTAAAGAGGAGATCGAGGAGATGTTGGCCCAGTACTCAAGCGGATCGAGCAGTGGCTCTGAAGACGAGAGCTCTGATTCATCGACTGATAGTGAATCAGAAACGATCATCATGAAAGTCCTCATTGTAGGCAACGCCCGCTGCGGAAAGACCAGCACCATACGAAGATTCACTCAAGATGAGTTTAATGAGGAGTACGTAAGTACCATCGGAGCGGATTTTGTGGAGAAGATCATCGAATATGACGACCAATTGACCATCAGCTTGCAGCTGTGGGATATTGCAGGACAAGATCGCTTCGCTAAGTTTACACGCGGATACTTTCGCGAGGCCAGAGGAGCCGTGATCGTGTGCGATATTACGCGAGCGAACACGATCGACGCGGTCGTGAACTGGAAGAACGAGATCGACACGTGCTGCAAAGACTTGAACGAAGGCGCAGAGATCCCAGTCGTCATGGTCGCCAACAAGAGCGACTTGTTGATGGATCCCATGGGTGCATTAGATCTCGGCGTTAACATGCAGAAATGCGTCGACAAGAACAACATCGTGGAGTGGTTCAGAGCTTCGGCTAAGAGCGGCGAGCGTATTGGCGATGCCTTCCAGTGTCTGATTGATCGTATGGTTAAAGACCATCGCAATGGCAAGGAGAAAGACAAGAACAACGAAGTTAACAAACCCAAAGATGAGATGGCTACACCCGAGATCATCCGTCTGTCCCAACCCCCGCAATACAGAGCTGTCAAGCAACAAGGCTTCGCTTGTGACTGCAATTAGAGGAGTGATGTCGCTGTCACATGATAACCTCTCATTTCTTATTTTTAGCATTATCGCCAATAATGCAGTTCAGATTGACAGTATCCCTCGCACATTTGACACCCTGTCTATGGGCGCGGACGTTTGCGGCGCACTTCAGCAGCCAGCGTGGCTGTGCTGTGTAGGATCTCCTTGCCTTCGGATGGGCGTTCAATGAAGTACGGGTCCAGGTCTACTGCAAAGCGGCGAATCTTCTGCGAGGCCTCGTCGATCTTCTCGTCCGTCGTGAGTGCAAAAATCTCGACAAGTAGAGCTTCAACACGGAGATTTTCCAGATCTACAAGACGATATTCATCCTTTTCATCTTCGTTTTTCAACTATAGCAACAGATATTAGCAAAGATACAGCCGTATGGTCGGATACAAGGACAACTTACCGCCTTCATGCGTGTAGCTTCAACGGTAATACCGTTCGGAAACTGCCATCGCGTACCAAGACGCATGTACCTGTAGCTGTGGCTATTGGCAGTGACAACAATTTGTAAATATTAGCTTCATACAGTGTCTAAAAGTAAGATATTCGTCGTACCGGAAACCAAGCGTATTGAGGAACGAACGAACGTTCTGACCGACGGATACAGCGATCTGGCTGCGGAACGGAACACCTAATGGAGCGCTTCCTACATGCTCCGACATCTTCTTGCGCTCCCATCTTCCGATGTATCGTAGTTCCCTGGTAATACAGCGTAAGAATTCTACCTCTATGTAGCAATGATTTTAACGTTTTTAGCTTACCATTTCTGTCCTCCGTCGGATGGCATTTCGACAGCTTCTCCCTGGAATGTGGTAGATCCAGAAAACACGTGACGTGCGCGAACCTCGTAGTGTGGAACACCGTGGATGTACTGCGGACACTTGTCATCGAAGTTGTAGACGTACTCCTTATACGCGATGTCCTCCTGCAACGATTTAGTACCGGAACTTAATACGTAAGGGTCTGGTATAATACCGTGGTTGGTGCGTGGTTACCTTGACGACGCTTTCGTCGCAAAGCCCACTGAGGCGTTCGACGAATGACGGGAAGTGCTTGAAGTTCTAAGGATGATATCGCCCACAATACGCAATCAATCGCCATAAAGATTAGGCACCATATTCTCCGATGTCTCGTAAGCATAGTATTGCTCTTGGTGTGTATGTAGACTCACCACTTCCCCCTGCAGCACGCACTCGAAGCACTTGCCCGCACGCGCCATGTTGGGACTGCTAAAGTCGTGAAGTGGCAATTAAAATAATCCTTCCCATTGGTCTAAATTAAAAAATCTGATATTATTCGCTGAAAATATGCATTTACATACGTGATTGGTTGAAAAGAAGCGTCTGTGAGCCACATGCTCATTAACTGCGCCAGACTTGAGACTTCCAGGCAGCGTAAGGCAAGATGGTGTGGAATCGCGTCAAGTTCCCCAACATGGCGGTGACCTTCATGGGCAAGAACGCACGCACACGGCTGCGTGACAACCAGTACGTCTTCCGCGTAGAGCCGCACTACACCAAGCACGAGATCAAGGAGTATCTGACCAAGGTTTACGACCTTCCAGTGGCTAAGGTCAACACCATGAACTACGAAGGTGCGTTTAGCAGCAACGAGTGCTATTATTCGTTTATTAACAGGCTGTGTGTTGTTACTATCAACAGGCAAGTTTAAACGCGCATTCCGTGGGCGATACGTGTACAAGGAGAAGGACTGGAAGAAGGCCATTGTGACCCTCAAGGAGTAACTTAGGCGCGTAGTTAAGGCGGTGGAGACAGCTACACATTCTAGCAGCGGATATAGGGCTAACTCAACTGCTGAATGGAAGGATATATCCACCGTATTCTTTGTGTTTAAAACCTGTCATCATAGCAAATATCCTCTTACAGACGCAATAATAAAACACAGCCACGCGCAGTTCTTCCACTGCTCCGATGTTATGCCTGGCGTACTAGTTGTACTGGGATTCTCTTAAGAAATTACGCTCCCTGATGCGAAACCTATAGGACATCAAAGGCGGGCGATAAAGTGGCCTCCAACACGTCGCGTCCCTGTGAGCCCCTCTGTAGCTACAGACCGTCTCCTCGCGTTTCTCTTAATCCTGCTGGCTAACGTCCTCGAAGTTGTCCACAAGGTCGGGCACCTCGTCGTCGTCATCGTCAGCAGCGGCGGCCGAAGCGGCCTTGGCGGCCTTCTGGGCGGCCGTGTACGACTCGGCGATCTGCTTGAGGTTAGCGAGGTTGTCCGGGCCCAGCTGGTTGATAATGCCCGGCAGCAGCTCCTGCAGCGACTTGGTCTGGTTGAAGCCCGACACGGCGTACGTGTTGGAGGCGATCGAGGCCTGCACCTTGGGGCTCTGGAAGTGGATGACCTGGCCGTCAGCCTTGAAGAGGTTCACCTCCTCCACGCCGGGGATGGGGGTCACGCCCAGCTTCTTCAGGGTCGCGCCCAGCTTCTTGTCGTCGGCCGTGGCCGTCTTGTGGGCGGCTTTGCGCTTTCGGCGCACCGTGCCCTTGCCGCCCGTACGGACGTCACCGAACTTGGCCGCGAGGCGTTCACGCGCGAGAGTAATAGCGTCAGCCATGTTTCTATTGGCAAATAAAAGGATATGGTTAGTTTGTGGGTGATTCCAAGTGGCGCTCCTCTCGCTGGATATGGAGAAATCGACTCCGATCTGTCCTGTATCTAGAGAGAGCTGGCATGGATAGGAAGCCCATTAACAAGGGGGACGCACCTTGACGTAGAAAACTGGAGTTAGTAGACCAGGCAAAAATGATGCTGCTGGAGTGGCAGACAACGTTTCCAAGGCTGTCGGTGCTGGGTCGCTAATTTGTAGCATAAAACGGGGTGAGGACTATAATCACTTGTTCTTTGTATGTCAGGGATGCCGCACCCACCACTCACTTTTAAGAGTCCGGTGCAGGCGTTCTCAACCAATGGATAGATTCAAGGAAACCCATTGGCTGAAAAGAGCAAAAGTTTTCTACCAATTGAGTGATACCAGCGCAATACTGTTAAAATTGATGTACACCTTGCATAATGAATATCGTGTCCTCATTGCAGAACATCATGAACCAAGATGACTTCCGGCAGATGCTGGCTACTCGCGAGGTCAGCGGAGACAAAAGAAGCTACGGAGGCAAGCGCAACTTGTCTGATGCGGACCTCGCCGATATTAAGAAACTGTCAGTGAAGAAAGCGAAGAAAAAGAGTAAGAAACCAAAGAATGCAACGGCTTTAGACGCCGCTGATCCCGATCCTCGACCAAAAAGTCAGTATCGAGACCGAGCAGCCGAGCGACGCAGAGGTGACACTGGAGACATGATCGATGCAGAAGAATACAAACACTTAGACACGGAGCAGAGCAAGTTCCTAGGCGGAGACATGGAACACACGCATCTAGTCAAAGGGCTGGACTTCGCGCTACTTGCTCAATTGAAACGCGAGAAGCAGAAGCTTCTGGCTGCGAAGCAGGAAGTGGCGAGCGAAAATACCGCTGATAAAGTGGAGAGAACGAGGCCGCAAGATGGTAAGATTACTTTTAAAACACGAATGGGGAGGCTGGTCTACTTTCAAGCATGTCAGAGCACGCCGGAAATCACGACGTCGGTCAAGTCGGAGCTGTTTTTACCGGGCAGAATGTACTACACATTTAATCTATCGCCTACTGAGATCGAGAGTATCCCTGTGAGTGTACAACGGAGCAAAGAAGACTGTCCAGAGCCAGATGAAGTGGTTAGTGGCATTGTAGACGAGACACTCATTGACCGAGTGGCAGAGTTGATGAACAGCAAGAAGAGCAATAAGAAGATGCGAAAGAAGAAGAAAGCAGATCATTACCGTCGTGATGAGAAGAATGTTGAAGAGCAGGCTGATGCAGACGTAGCGATGGTTGAGGCTGACGTTGCTGCAGTTGACGAAGACGAAGATATCTTCCCTGATGTGGGCGAGTACGTCCCCATAGACAAGCGTACGGACGATGTATCCGCTGATATATCAAAGAAAGAAGCGGTTAAAAAGGCTGGTTATTTCACGAATTTGAGTGCTTCGATCACTGAAAAGGAGGAAGCAGCTCGAAAGAAAGAGGAGGACGCAGAGCGAGCATGGAAAGAAACGTTACAGAAGGCAGTGAAGACGCAGAAGAAGATCGAGCGTGAAAAGGAACGGAAAGAGAAGGAGGCCAAGATGATTGACGAAGCAGATGACTACGCGGAGTACCAGGGTATCGCTGCATTAGGTGGAGATAGCGACGATGAGGATGAGGAAACTGTTAGACGCCGCAAAGCTGCAGGACTCACGACCCAAAAGGATGTTGACCCCGAGGAAAAGGCACGTCGGAAAAAGCAAAAGCAAAGCAGCAAACTTGCGAACGACCTCGAAAAGATCAACAAGGTAAGCTGTTTTTTTTTTCATTTGTATTGATGTAGACACTGGTAGACGTACTAATGCACGCTGTCGTACCACTTAGATCATGGAGGACAAGTCGAACAAGTAATACTAGTAAAATTCCATGCACAAAAAAATTGACGTAACCAGTAGAAGTTGTTGGTAGCGTGACTTTTATTATTTTTGTGGAAAAGTTGAATACTGTGAGAGTCAATATTAAATTTTACAATTTTTACGGTCGATATCTTCTTCGAAACGTCGCGACGGATCCACCCGGTGGAAGCGAGTCATTCCTTCTTCTCCGTGGCACGAGCGACCTGTTCAACACCTTCCTACTCGAACGCCAGCTAGATACACACCTCTCTTCTGTCCACGCCCACGCAGCTCAAGTCTTCTCCAACGCAGCAGAGATGGCAGATCTAGAGCGTAACGACCAGTTCGGATTCCTGTACGAGAACCGCGACCCGTGCAATGCCATCGCGTTGCTACAACTCGGCGTGACGCTTGTGTCTTTCTTCTTCACGTACACCGTGTGGTGGTCGGGCCTCTTCGGCGTTATCGTGGCTGCTATGGGCTACTACGGCTCCGTCCAGCCCGTCATCCAGAGCAAAGTCAGCTTCATCCAGTTCGTACGTGTCAAGTGGCTTAATCTGGGATTTTCTAGATATTGTACTAACGAAACGTTGTTATAGTACTACTTCGGCAACTGCTTCATGCTGCTGCTACAGGCCATCTCGGCTGTGGTGTTGTTCATCCTTGTGAGTGAGTGGAAGAATTTTGACGCTTGGGCTTGGGGCGTCATCATCTTTGGCACGTTGTCCTTCGGCGTGCAGCTCTTCGTCACATACGTGGCTATTCAGCGTTCGCACGCGTACCGAGCGGAACTGATGAGAAATCCTCCGCCGGCGGAGAATGTTTACGGAGGCAACTCGAACGGAACTGTGTACACGGCTATGGGAGCGGGATACAAGGCGCCAACGGCACAGATCAAAACAATTTAAGCAGATGACGTAGACTTCAAGTGCAACAGGCAGCAGAAGGATGCATATTTAGTCTATAGTTCGGCTGCTGCGGAATCGTTTGCAATCCTGACAATACTTCTAAGACTATCCTGTTGATTCTCGTTCTGCATCGACTCATTCTTTGACCTCCTCTCTATCTCTTGGTTCGATGCTTGGCTTTTATGGGTAGGCGTTTTCATGTGAGCTCGTGGGTGTGAACAGTCTTCCGTCTACTACGTAGTACATATTAGAAACGACATTGTCGTGTAGAAGTTAAGCAAATAAGCAAGGCCCTCTTCATGAAAACATGCAACAATATGCGCAGCAAGACCAGATTCGACCGTAAGCGATAGGTAACGACATCAAGTTGTACAAGCCTTCTATAGGGAAAAACACACACATAAAAATCAAATAGAAGGCCAATTTATTATCAGAAGTTGGCAGAAATTAAAACGAAATGTGGAGTGGTGAAGGCAGGTCCGTGGTAATTAAAATGTTGGATTAATATAAGTCCAAGTTCTACCAAAACAAATAGTTCAGGTAATTACATACATTGCTACCAATTTTCTAAGCATATAGCCATGCATACACGACCCACCTCATACACCGTTTCACACTAAAAGTTAAAAACCCAAACTAAAAAGATGCAATTCGTGCTACATAGTACTTACCGAAGAAATGCTCTTACTCGTAAGAAAATTTCTTGGTTTCCAAACTCTGTTAAATTATATTATACTAGTGCTTTGTATTAGCCTTTTTACTATAATATAATTTAACAGAATTTGGAAACCAATTAAATGGCACAAATTAATAAAATTCAATTTTAAAACCCAATGAATTATTTCAATAATTTAATTTTGACCACCCCTAGGTGAAGACCATGGTGAGTGGGCACGAAGCTTGAAACAAAAAAATACTTATTATCCATAATAAGTATTGTGCTTTGGTTAGATAAGTGTCATGCTTCGGTTTGGCAAGGTTCGATTTATATAGATCGATGTGTACTTATTTAGGTTTAACGTAACCTTCCATGTAAACGAATGATAATGAATTGTAGTGTGTTTGCTTTATGCACAAGATCAGGTGAACATTCCATGAGGTCAAACAAGAGGCCATTGGCTTTGCGCGATCAACGTCGCCAGTGCTGTGCTGCTTACCGAGAGAAAGGATACACCCGCTGTCGCAAGTGCGGCAACCTGCTGGAGAGAGATTATACCCATAACCGTGTGGGGCGTGGTGTAATCGGACGCTATCAGAGAGCACTCGTAATGGCCCGCCGCCGGTAGGAGGGTGGTCTCGTGCGCCGCTACGCAGTCCGGAACGTCGGCGAGAAGAACCGCGCGGGGCTCCGAGCGGCGCGGGGTCCAGCCAACGCACCCAGGTAACGTCGCTTAGTGGGGATAACAGCGTCGTGGCGGTGAGTGTCGCGAGCCGTACGCGAGGCCGTGGGTATAGCAGGAGGGTTCTCGTCCTCCAAGATTCGATCGACGATATGCCGAAGATTGTCCACCCTATCCACAAGGGGCGCGGGGTCATCGCGCTGGAAGAAACTAATGAGAGCCCTCGTAGGGAGGGCCACACAAAAAAGGTACGCGGATTAGTGGGCATATACCAGTACTGAACCGGTATCGCTGTAAACAAACAGCTGTAGACGAGCCGTAGACGAACCACGAAAGGTCGTCAAATAAAAAATAAGACTCTGCCATGAATGAGCCTAGACTCCGACGTGTTAATACCCCCCCCCCACCTCCACCACCACCACCACCACCACCCCGAAGCTGTGTATCCTTCGCACGACCAAGCAGAACAATCTTTGCACCAGTGAACGAAAGAGCACGGCTTCAACCTGTCACGGCGCCGAGTTCGGTACACAGATGATGTCGAACGGAAGGCATAGGCTCAAAATTACAAGTGTGACCGCACGGGAGTGCCGCAGAACACTCAATACTTAACCCAGGAACGCGCACGATGCGAAGGTCAAAACGCTCGGGCTGCCCTTTGTGGATTACACTTCATGCAGTCATCAGGAAGGACACCGACGGTCCTTGGAAAATTGTTTATACTACACGAAGCTCCCACCACAACCGCAGAACCTTCCAAAAATATTCGTGTACATGCCGCACTTAGATGTCACATCGCTCAGCCACTTTGTGAGCACTTCAGCGACAACATCTGAACTGGTAGAGCTTCAGACTGCTGCAGGGGTTCCAGTTTCGACAATACAAGACACGGTTCTAAGTACTGACCCAAACTCTCTCGTACTCACCAAGGACATCACAAACATGAAGAGCGCTTACGTAGATGTGATTTAGCATCTCACAGCGCAATCGAGGCGCAGCTCTTAGAGCTTCGGGAGAAAAACTTTTTTCCACAGGTGGAGTGTTAATCCACAGACAAAAGAGTTAACCCACCTCATTTGGGACCACCCTGCCACGACCAAGCTTTATAGACTTTACCACGACATATTTGTGGCTGACTGCGCCTAAAAGTCTAACATGCACCAACTTCCGCTTCTCAATATCATTGTGATCACTGGTGCTAACACTATACTTCCGGTGGTTCAGTGTTGACTTCCTGGAGAGAAAGAAGAAGATTTCGTGTGGGCTTCAACATGCTACGACTTATCACGACTGAGAATGATATCGATTCTCCCAATATCTTTCTTACTGATCGGATTCTTGCCTGCATGAATTCTCTGGATCGTGTGTTCCCTGATGCCCCTTCGATGATATGTCGCTGGCACATGACCAAGAATGTGGGGAGTATGGCCAGAAAGCACTTAGGACAAGTGGATGTAGAGGAACCAGCACCTGGGTAGCCCAAGAATAAATGATAATGCACAATTTGGACTTGTAGTTTTACCCGCACCTTCAAACTTGCGCTTCAACTGGTTCTCGGGCGCTTGGGAGTGTCATTGCAGTAGAACTGGTGCTTGTGAAATCCGGCATCTAAGTACCGTAGTACTTGCATGTTAAATGTAGCGGCAGCGTGTCCTGGACAACATCAGGACTCTAAGACACACCCTCGTACGTTAGGGAACAATAGATTCGGTGGTTCTTCGCCTTGTATGCCACGCCGCTGTGAGTGAGGTCTCCCCGGAACAGTGATGGTCGAGGCCTCAGCTTCGCTCCTGGTGGTGAAACATCCGCCGTGCTCGTGTAATCTAGTTCCTGATTTGAAGTGCAAATATCATGCTATCTGAAACTCTGCCGGGGTGGATGGCCTGGAACTGAGCGATATCAGCAGCTTGATAGTCTTGGTGCGGCTCTTGGTCAGTTCCACCACGGCCGTAACGTATGAACGAGAAGGTTTCGGGCATTCAGCCCGGGTGAATAATTGCCAAGACCACACGCAGCTCCGGTTTCAACTCCACCTTTGAAGATTACATTTGCTTGTCCGTGACGCGAGATTGCAAACGGTACTTGTCGTCAGAACCCCCCCCCCCCAACACGATTAAAAACGTCCTGGTAGGTACACTGCTTCGCTTTGGCGAAAGCTCCGGAACTTCATGAGAAGGAAACGTTAGATCCACAGGCAAAAAGTCGTGAGGGAGCAGTGGCCTGACGGCCTCGGAGATTGCCATCTCCAAATAAAACCTGAAAGTGAGATATATCCGTATGTAACGGGAAGACCGGATGTAGCTGGAAGATTCCCGTTACACCCGGTGGGGTCCAGAACGGTTCTAACCGGCGTGCATTTTTTGCGTGAGGGCCCTCTCCACGAGGGCTCTCGTTAGATTCTCGCCATCGCGCTGGAATGGAGGATTGTCGTGATTGGAATGGCGCTAATGTTGCGCAGCGTCTAAGCCGTCTTGCTTGGAGAATAACATCTGGAACGGGAGAACCAAGAGTTCCGTTACCGCGTAGGGAGGGGGTGAGGATCGCTGGAATGGAGACACGGCGTAACATTTGTGTCGCGAGGGATAGTCGCTGGGTGGTACAGTCGGAACCGACCGACGCTTAAGTAGGAAGGAGGTGTAGCGCTGTGGGAAGTTGTAGCGTGTACGCGTCCCCTAGTACAATTAGTATCCTCAACGGTCAAATGAATCTTGGTGCCAATTTATTGACGCCCATGTCCGTCACAGAAAAGGACTAATGCCATCAGTAGATAACAATTTCACGTGTCTACGGGCCCTACTCTATTGTGCGTGAACTACGGGCGTCACCCCCCGTATTCCCGTCCTTCTTGGGATGGATCGCCTCACACATAATAACACCAACACGTGTACATTCGTGTCGAACATCCCGTCGGACGCTGCCGACAATCCTGCAATCACCAACTCAGAGATCCCCGTAGATGAGAGTCGTGAGAAAACCCACGACGTTATCTCTGCAATTCTGAACGGTGTCGCCACCCGAAACGGAGCCGCGGCTGCTGCACCAGGAGTGCGCACTCGAGCCGTCACAAAGACAGCGCCATCGTCTATCGCAGCTTGGGCGTCACCGACGCTGATCAACTCACGTCAGCACTGCCGCGCTGCTGGGGAGAACGAAGTCTAGCAGAAAGTATTATTAGACCTTGCACAACTAAAGTATAATACCGAATAGAACGCGGTAAAGTAATACAATGCTAAGTGAACTGAACGCCCTCGCACAGGGTGTTCTAATAAAAAAAACGCACCATCAAATAAAATACGCTAGAATAGATCTCCGTCGCTCACCAAAATCTGATTCTGGCGTTGCTCTTTGCGCAGGAAAGCAGCAGAACACTAGTTTCCTTGTAGATTTTCGCGTTCGCGTCAAGTTGGTCAATGCTCCTCCACTCAAAACCTCGACAGGACTCCAGAGCTCGTGAATCGTGGCTCATTCTCCAAGATGCCAGCGAGAAGAAAGAGCGTTGAACTCAGTATCAAGAAGCAAGCGTTGGATTAGATCGCCACGGAGGGAGGTGGTGTTCCATCTCGGGCTGAAGCGCGCTTCCGGCGGCGTGGATAGCGCTTTCGAGAGTGGTGGGGCAAGCGTGACGAGATCCTTGCAGCAGCTGGCAGTCGTCGTCGTCTTGAAGGTGGAGGGCGACGTCCTGTGTTGGGTGAACTGGTGAACACTCTCGTCGACATGATCTACGACCTGCGGATCAGCAAGGAGAAGGTGACCCGTGAATGGATTGCAGCTCAAGCCCGAGATCTTTTCCACGGTAGCGGAACGAAAGAGGAAGCTGAGGAGCACCCGATCCGATTTATGGCATCCGATCCGTGGGTGGCCTAGTTCACGCAGCGCAATGGATTCAGGTTGTGTTGTCGCACCAATCTCACTACGCTCACCGACGAAGAGCTGGTACGTCGCGCTGTGTCTTTCGTGGGCTTCTGGAGACGCACAAGTGTGAAATGAATCTCGATCGCACGGTGATAACGGACGAAATGAAATGGCTATCTCTTTTCAAGACCCTAGGATCGCGCTGTAGACGTTGTTGGACGCCGCCATGTCGTCATACACTCAACGGGTTTTAATTCAATGTGAATTGCAGCTGCTCTGGCGGTGACGGCGCCCGGGAAGAAGCTGCCACCCTGCCTCATCTGGAAGCAAAAAAAGTCGTGGTCCGACTAAGCGTCTTGGAGGGTGCTACGTGTCGTTTCAGCCCAGGGCCTGGGTCGATCAAGGGCTTCTGTTGCAGTGATTGGAGCGCTATTTCCTGCAAGTAACGCAAGCCACGGGACAGTAAGTGGTATGGGATTCTATGAGAGCCCATATCAGCAAGAAGGTGAAGACTCGATGCGAGGAAAAAGAGATCAAGTTCCTGGCGGACTGACGCCGTATCTCTAGGCTGGTGATGTGGGCGTATTCAAGTCTTTCAAAGACAAGATGTCCGTGCTCATCGATGAGTCGATAGAAGTGGTCGTGTCGTGGGTGACCACAGCTTGGCGTCAGGTTCCGAATAGTGTCGTGCAGCAGAGTGTGGACAAGTGTGGCTTCTTCGCAAACTCGAGCGACTGGTTTATCAGTAAGCAAGATGTGTACGGGTCGCAGTTCGATGCTGCTTGGAGCGCCCGCAGCGATGTGAGCTCTGATTCCGACATCGAGGACGACACTAACAGCACTTTTGATGAGGTGCTTGACACGCTGGACGAGATCGTGATCAATGAGTAGAAGATTTAAGTATCTTCAGCTTGTAACAACTGAATACATCTGCTGGTATTGATGGTTCAGATTCAATTTCTACTGTTTGTGAGCGAATCAAATAAAACACGGTTCTAATAGAACGCTCATCATGTATAACACCGCACACAGGCTGGGAGGATGTTGTATAACAATAGAACGCTGAGTACTATTCGGCATTATACGTTATAATGTTGCGCTCCAATTTAGCTCCTGCTGGTCAATGTTGCGCTGAGCGATGTATTCTTTTGAAAACGGCCACAAACCTATTTTACCGTCGAACAGAGTATTTCTGTGTGGGTCATATCTGTAACATTTCAAATCATATTATTTAGAATATTATATAAATTTTAAGGGTTATCAAAACGAAGTTACTCCTTGCAAGAAACATGGTCTTCTCCACGTGGTGTGAGTTCTGTAGAAGGCGTTCTGGTGGCTTTTCATCGGGCAGCATGAACTATCGACATGTCTTCTTGTCGTGGTTAAACTACTTCTCGACTACGTTAAGCATTTGGTCGAAAGCATTTCCTTCTGTTTCTTCATCGCGGCTTGGCTAAGACACCACGAAACTAAGGGCCCACTCCAGCTTGCGCTGTCGATTCTGGACCGGCTTATTAGTGTTAGTGTGCACTACAATCTTTGTTGGTCATCATATTGACGATGAGTCCAACAGAGAGACCAAGACTCGGGGCAGCTTGCTGGTAGTTAATCCGCTACTCGGGCGGCACAGCACGGATCATAGCTTCAACAGCGGTGCGATCATATCATTTACGACCCCAGTTTTCGCTGTACCTGCTCGCTCGCTACGTCGTCCCTCAAGTCGCCAGCACTGACAGCTGTGCTGTAGCATTTTTCAAGTATTTGACTCAAGACAGTTGGCGTAAGACAAGCTGGCTACATTCAAGTTGCTCAAGCTACGAACACTCGATCACGTGATAGGTATCAACGGCAGCGTGAGAGAGACCGGACCAGGTCACTACCGAACGCTCGCCGGATCCCAAAAGTGATCAAGATATCGCTAAATTCAGGCCGTACCTTTTCGTTATAATGGGGCTGGCTGGATTCGCATTCAGTGACACTAAACTAGCAATTCACGGTACGAATGCTTGATGGCGGTTGGAGCGACTCTTGGGAAGCCTTGGCGACTGTTTGAACGCTCGGCGGAGATCTGGGAAGGTGAAAAAACCGTTGGGGTGTCTGTTGGCACGCGAAGAGATCCATAACGGATCATATTTCACTTGATATTTGTATACATGATTAGGATTGCACAATAGGGAGAGCCCGAAAGGGCAACACAAAGAACTGAACAGACTCTCCGTCCAACCACATAAAGCGAGGCTTCAAGGTAAGCGTCTGGATAAGCTTGTGTGGGTGTGTTATGCCTGTCGATTGACTCGAAGCTTACTAGCGAGGGTTCATCTGGCAAGTCCAAGAGTGCATGCTGGCCGACTATATATCGGACGTTTACATGACGGCTTTATTGTGCCTATTTGGGTAGAATTTTAACGGGGTTTACTGATCGGACCTGAAATGAGGATCTGACACTTGTTTGACGTGGTATGGGTCTGGTATTATAGAGATCAGGTATAAGGATCTGACTCGTTATTGGAGGTCAAATTTTGAGCTTTGCATTGGCAGTTCCAGCTCGACAAAAAGAAGTTTTCATTCTAGCTTTCGCTCTTGATATGTTGGCAAGGAGGATAATAAACAACAAGCTATATCCCTCAGTCAGCAGCTCTATTATTGTTTATCTTGTCAATACTATCCACCATTAGTGATCAGGGCTAGCTTTGAATCGGCAGTCCCGGTTTGATCCAGAGAAGTTTACATTTTAGATTTCGCTCATGATATGTTGATAAGAAGTAGAACAAAACATACAAGCTAGAGTTCTCAATGAGACGTTTAATTTTTTATGGTGCCGTTATTATCCACCGTTAGAGTCAAAAGCACGTTACATCGCAGACTCAGCTTGGCCGAAGCGCTGCAGGATTTCGCGGGTATGGTCGGAATGAGTAACAAGAATGATCGAGCTAAATATTCACGTCCTGGCTTCGAAGGTTTATTATTTACATTCGTTTCCAATACGAAAATGCGGACTGTTTATGTGCAACTGCTAAATGTTCGCTACAATTTTCAAAGCGCCGTTCACTTGGAAGCAGTCTCAAGGTTGCTCCTTCGCTTACTTATTTCTCCTCATTATCCGACTCGCCATCGCTCTCTCAAGTAGATCATAACGCTGAAGAACATGGTATTCGCTGACCCAGAGTCTACAGAAATAACCCTTCGACATCCGAAACGGAAAACTCAGCTCTGACACAACAGTGTATACAGCAAGCACTCGTGGCACTTCCTCACGCTGCAGCTGTACGTCGTGCTCGGTACGATACCATAATTAACCTAGGTGGATTCCAGTACACACAAGCTTGGATGACAAGACGCAAGATTGTTATCGCTGTTGGAACTACCGCGGATCTGGCTGTCGTGGGAAGGTCGAGTTTCACGCTACTACAGGCGGGTACGGCAAGTTTGTATCCCTTATACCTGCCGAGCTGGCCGAATTGCATCGCACACGCCTGTCGATGTCGTCGAAGGCATCCAAAACGCTGTGGATGAACTTGCTCGCAATGACGTCTCGTTCTCGGCAGCAGCGATCTGGGCAACGGTCGACGAGCGATTATACGGAGGTGAACACGTACAAGCGGTGGCAGGGTTATCGCGCGAACAGGTCGTTTGCCGAGTTTATCGCGTTCGGGATCGCCATTTTGGAAGGAATGTCCATGGGCGGATAGAAATGTCTCCACTCTCTCGAGTACAAGATCGATCCCTCAACTTCTTTCAGCTCCATTTCATATGCGGATTTGACGATAACGACCAATCGTCCCGGATTATCAGATGGGCGCCCCTAGAGCTACTAGCTCTGTTGAAGTACTCAGGGACCTGCATCTTTATAGACGGCACCTTTATTTGCGTTCCACGCGGATTTCAACAGTGTCTTGTGGTGATGGTGCACGACAGATCGGCAGGAAAATACTTCCCTGTCTTCTATGTTTTGACGATTCAGAGGATACTAGGCACCTATCGACACGTTTTACATATCATCACGCAGGATGCTGATGAACAGCTCGAGCCACCCGATGTTGTATGTGATTCTGAAAGAGCCCTGATCGACGCGGTTGGCATGCTCGTTCCAATCTAAACAGGACGTCAGAAGACAAATGAAGAAACTCGTCAATTACAAGGCCCCCGGAGTACTCGGTATGCTAACGGTTGTGCCACCAGAGCAAATAGCCGTTCAAAGAATTTCGTGGGTCAAACGACAGATCAAAGACCGCTGTAGAAGAAACAGGGTTGCTTATGCACGCTCTAGCTGGCGTTGTTTCTGGAGATACTTTGCTCATACGTGGCTGAAGCTTTACGACCCAGAGCTCTTGAACGTTCATGGTCTGACCAACAAACTTGTAGCTCGTACGAACAATCCCCTAACACGAAGCCACGTTGCAGTGCTTGCAGCAGTACGAGGACGCCGAGCGCGTGGGCGAACCCGTGAAACTATTCACCTTACCCAACCTGTAGACCTTTTAATTGAAGCAGAAGATTCTACGGTTGACGAGTATAATGTGGAGGAGGGACAATCGGATTCAAGTAGCGAAGTACCAAGGAGTGACTCCGACGACTCTTCTACCGGAAAGGAGCGGGAGGTCTGCGGGGTTGTCTAGGTGTACGTGCAGCGAACATTGGAAAGCTAGCTGATACGTATTCTTTATAATACATGATACTATATTTCATAAAGCATTCATTGATAAGACCTGATAACAGGTCTGGTATTTAGTCAGATCATATTCCCAGGTCCTACCAGTACACGACCCCGCTAATAGTTTACCCCTAATTGCATGTGCTGGGGAGAGCGAGTTGCCTCCCGTATATTCTTCCAGCCGAGTGTCGAACACACGGTGCCCTCAAGAAAGACTTACCCGTGCCTGGTACCCTTCCACTGTTGGAACCACGAGGAATCAAAACACCTACTAGTTTTGCTCGTGCTAGTAGCGTGTTCTTATTTCCACTGGCTATATAAGCGATTTGATGGTCCAGTCTGTCCCGGTGCTAGGGCAGACTCTGGGTCTTCAGATCACGCCCAAACGGTCATTTGCCGTTCTGGTAGACGTATTGTTGTGGGTTTATCCAATCAACACTAATAGCTAGAGTTGCCGTGGAAATTACAACTGGTGCCGCGACCCAGAAGCAGTGTGTGACTTTGTTGACTGCTTGTATGGTCTCCAAGTTACGAGCAACCAAGAGTAGAAGAAGACGAAAAGAAACAAGAAGAAAAATGGCAAAAGGAACATCAACAGCGGTATCAGCTACTCCTACCAAGTCTGGCAGAGGCTTCAACGAGGGTTCAAGTCCGACCGGGACGGCTGCACGACTTGCGACTGCCCTCCACGGGGGGCGAGATTCCTCAAAAGTGACTTCGTCGCCCCACTCAGAGCCAACGATAGCGTGGCATTCCCGGTGTCATTGCGCCTGGATCTGAAGCCGGCATCTTATCTTCTTAATCATCATAGTCTACTCGGGCGTCTGGTCCATCGTCCGCATCGTCTTCGAAGCTCACCGAAAGATCGGAGACGTAAGGCAGATGGATAGGTTGATTGTCTGATAAAGCATTGTAGCATTATCATAACCTTTGTTGCGCTCACCGTGCCTCCGTCGCTATAAAAAGCTACCTTTCCATTACGGGACGACGGCGGCGGCTACATTTACGCTTGCAACAAGTACGATGATGACTCCCTCGGCCTTCATTTTTAGTAATAACCAATGAATATGCTCGATTATACAATTCTAAGCGATTTAAAATACTTCAATTTTATTTGGACTAATTAGGCAGTTTGCGAAAAACTAAGTATATTGCTTGGTTTTACAACAATAAACGATAGATTATGCTGCGAGTTGCAGAGTAAATTTTTGCTTTGCAAATTCCAAGTATCTGTTTGGTGTAATAGGGTTAAGGTTCAATAATTTGAAAACCTCAGAGTACTTGGTGAGACGACCATCATGAGCGACATTTATGGCAATCATCACAGGTGGAATACTCCAGCACAATTCCTAAGTTTCTTGCAGTATGGATCGATTCCTAACGCGCTTAGTACATAACCAGAGCTTCGAGGGTGTTGATATGTAGTTCAGACCCAGGAGCTGAAGAGCTAACTTAGTCAATGTAAGTAGTGTCACAAGGATAATACTGTAGCTAGATTTGTACGGTGATACTTGTATATGTTTCATTGTACAGTTGTTTTATTACTTTCGAAATTACACTATTGTAAGACGAACGCAAAAATAAAGCAACTATTACTCGTTGCGAATTGGTACCGTTCGTTGTATGGTACAGTGAAACGACCTGTTTACCATAATTGTTAGATTTTTATGTAAAAGAGCAGTGTGTCCTTAAAATCTGGTAAAAGTTCAGTACAATTATTACTGGCGCAATCTCGTTTACGTCAATGCAGTTTGTTACTGTAGGTTTTTTTTCTGAGTTCATTTGCTCTGAGATTTCCCGCTTTGCATTGTGGTTCCCTCCCAATTATATTACCGGTAGAGTCATTCCAATTTTCATTTTTCGATTTCTGGAATTTATGTATTGCTCCGGGCTAAATGTTGCACGTGTCAGTGAGTGTAGTCTATTATTTTCTTGTGCAAATGGTAAGTACGGCTCATACAATGAAGCAAAGTGGAAACTTTTCATTGCTAACGGCTTTACACAATCCCTTCGATTATGGTACTTCATTCAAAACTTCTGTTGAAGTAAAAAAAAAAAGCTGATAAAAAAACAGTGAGGCTCAAATCTCAGAATCCCTGTTTCTTGTGTCGGCTCTCAGCAACTGCAGTAGCCCGACGCACCAACTCAGCGAACGCAACAAATCTTTCCAATACGCTCACCGCGTGTTGTCCTATGCATGCGGCGGTTCTGCAGCAGCACCGTCACAGCCACAACGAATATCTCGACGGGGATCCAGGTGACGCCCTTGTACCATTTCGCACCACCAGCATGGAACAACACACCCGTGACATCAACACACTGCACCAAAATAAATTCACTCCCATCGTTGCCATGGTGAAAGTCTTCACCGTCGACAGTGCGTCAGCTGAAATTGCCACTGGTGGCCAAACCGTAGCCGTGTTGCAGGCAATAGAGGTGGCCCAGTGTGCATTCACATATCGAAGGCCACCGTCGAGAAGATTAAACACCGCTGAAGCCAAATAGTCCCTCGAGGCCATGCAGACCAAGCGTGATGACAGCGACACCGACAACGACGAAGGTTCTGAAGGTGCCACAGTCATCCGAGAATGTCGTAGCATCATAAGGTAGCATAAGTCACACAAACATCGAATAGCGCGACAAGATTGACCAACCTCATCATTGGCATACTGTAATCGTTCTTGCCAATGTTGATAAGAACATTCGTGTCGTAGGTGTGCTGGAAGGAGACCGACGCCCACTCAGTCTCAAAATGCCGTACAGTAAACTACACGATAGGAAGCTCCGCGTGACGGCCGTGACGTAGTGTTGCAGCGTGTTGCCGTATCCGACAGTTGAGGGCGTGGAAATGACAGCTGCGGGTAATCGCTGCTCAGGAGACCGTCAGTTTTCATTAGTGTACTGCATTTTCGTCTCAACCACTTACTCCAGCTTCTGTTCTTGCTGATGCTCAAGTTTATCTTCATTTGCAGGAGTGCGTGAAGCTCTTTTCCAACTGTAACGTGGTGGTCGTTTTTCTCGATGGAAAACGTTGAACAACGACGTTGATAATGCTTCGTCGTTGAAGCGCGCGTTTTATAGGCTTCAACAAGCAGTTTGGCACATTACTGAAACCAGCTCCTGTCGCACAAGTCTCAGCTTTCAGATTTCACCAACGTCACTAACTAATTAATCAACGGGCTTGACTTGATGGCGGTTAACGCAGCTTCCCAGCGCACGTATCCTTGAATTCCGCAAAGACAAATCTTGACGAGGAGCGTTGCCTCCACTTGTCAGTCTCACAACGCAATTTGAGAAGAACTCCAAGTATCTGCCGTCAAGAAAAATGAAGATCACCGCACTCGTCGTCGCCACGGCCCTCGCTGCAACGAGCGTTGTCGCTACTGATACGCCAGCTCTACGGGCTCTGGCTGATGCGCCCGAGGCCGATGTGCAGCCCAATGCTGACGTCCCGCTGGAAGGTGTCGACCAGCAGGAGTGGTGGGGCCGCCCAGGATGGGGACGTCCTGGCTGGGGCTGGGGACGCCCAGGTTGGGGGCGTCCTGGTTGGGGCTGGGGACGCCCTGGTTGGGGCTGGGGAAAGCGTCGTTGGTGGTAAAGCTGCCGCTAAGGACCGATGAAGCAAGTCTGGACTCGAGAGACCGAATTTCACAAAAAAAAACCAAATATGTAGTCCTGCTGCCTCTGTCGCCAACCTCCTGCCTTCGTATGAGCTCGTCTGCGCTATCTTCTCAGCCGGACGAGCTGAGTAGCGTTTAACCTGCTTGAAATTGAAATCCGAAGCATTTTTGATGTCACCTGCCTACGTTTAAGTGTCTTCACGCTTGTTTGTACCTCACATCAAGTCACATTTGAGATCCGTAGCTCATGCTGCTACGATACTGCAGCCAAAATCTGCCACGTCGCGCGCAATTAACCTTGGCCAAAGACGACATAGTATCCGACGACATCTCCAAATGCCAAGAGCACGACTGTATGATGTTGTCGCGTGCAATCTCGATTACGGAACATGCCATCGAGTGAGCAGCTTTATCCTTAATTCCGTTGAAGCGCCAGCAAGACGTACTGCGCGATCGTGACCTCTACCTCCACTATGCAATTGGCTACGCAAACTCCCATTCCTTTGCGGTCCATCCATACAGCTCTTTTGTTCTAGACATTGTGCAATAGGATCATCTCAGCAACATAGAGGGCCTCCAAGAGAGGCACCGGTTGAACGTATAGTGTCAGAGGTTAGCTGTGTCGACGGTCCTCGTTACAGTCAGAGTTCATGGCACTCGCATAACCGCAGCTTGATGTTCTTATGGCAGCACACCGAGTGGACTTGGTCGTGTGATTCCGCCATAGCACCGGCAGAAACTCTCTCCTGTGGCGATTGTGTCGTCCTCCCAGTAGTCCCATTGCGCACTTCCACTTCAACTGCTGCCATTCGGATATACGCGCATACGACACACGAGCACACGAGCACGAAATCGGCTTTAACAGAATGAGTTAATCTCGGTTCCATTGTAACCGTAATTAAATCAAAAGCTTTCTAAACCGTACCTTTAAAATCCGGACCGTTCACTTTAATAGACCCTGTACCCATTTTTTGTGCACTCACGGATTGCCAGTCATTTTGTGCGACCCCCTCCCGATTTCGTCTCCGGCCATTTATTCTTTGGGACAAATTGGAAGAAGAATATGGTGTCCTTGAAGCTTCAGAAGCGGTGCGTTACGGCTCCGTTTAGTACAGGAAACAGGTCCACAGGTCTACTACGGAGCGCCATGCTGACGCTTGTGTGTTCTATTGCTACAGTCTGGCCGCGTCCGTGCTCAAGTGCGGTAAGCGCAAAATCTGGCTCGACCCCAACGAGTCGAACGAGATTGCTCTTGCCAACTCTCGCCAGAACATCCGCAAGCTCGTCAAGGATGGCTTTGTCATCAAGAAACCGCAGGTGATCCACTCGCGTGCTCGCTTCACCAAGCGCAACGAGGCTAAGCGCAAGGGCCGCCACACGGGCATCGGTAAGCGTCGCGGTACGGCCAACGCTCGTCTGCCCTTCAAGGTGATCTGGATGCGTCGTATCCGTGTGCTCCGTCGTCTCCTCCGCAAGTACCGTGAGGCCAAGAAGATCGACAAGCACATCTACCACGAGCTGTACATGCGCAGCAAGGGTAACCAGTTCAAGAACAAGCGTGTGCTCATGGAGACCATCCACAAGATGAAGGCTGAGCGCCACCGCGAGAAGACGCTCAAGGAGCAGTCGGAGGCCCGCAAGGAGAAGGCCAAGTCGGCTCGCGAGCGCAAGGCTAAGAAGGCCGCTGCCCCCGCTGCCAAGAAGGAGTAAGCGTCTGCTTTTCTTAGCTTGAAAACGTGAACCGCTTGTCCAGGTCACATGAAGGAATGAAACTCTTCCCGAAGATGCCCGCATCTTTTGTCCCACTAAATCTGCCTATTTACTTTGTCTTTCGAAGGTGTCGTTGTCGATGGGTACAAATGCAAGGTGATCGCTATCGCTACTTTGTCTTTCAAAGACGATGAGTCGTTGTGAATATACGTGTAGGTTGTCTGTATGTATCGTAAGTATGCAAGTAGGTCATGTTCGTTGAGCATCTTCGCGCTCGAGTCTCCTACTTGGAGATGCCAACATAGTGCGTTGAAAACTTTTGAATAGAGCTCTTGTCAAGAAGAGCACATTTGCACTCGTACTTAAATGAATATAAAAGTTTAGTGTCAGTGTTTAAAAAAAAAAGATGGAATCGAGCCCTGCCGATAGCTCTATCTCCAAGGCCAAGCTGCACGAGGTCCAGCCCCTCTATGGAACTGCTGTTGCTGTATTCTGTGACGTCTATCTAACATCCGCTGTGCTTTACTCCCTCGTTATAGGCGTTCGACGTGCTGCCGAACCTCATTGATGTGTTGAAGGATGTGCTGTCGGCCAGCTCCACTCAGGAGACCATGAGAATCGGAGATGTCTCGGCCTCGGTAAGGATCGCGAAGAAATAAATAATGCAACAAAGAGGAGAAAATTCTCGATACTCTGTCTCAGTGATGACACTGACGTGGATTGAATGTAGGCGGTGTCGGTGAAGCAGAAGTACACGGACGCGCTGGAGCTACTACGCTCGCTGCCCGGCACCGACACCTCGCTGGAGGAGCAGGAAAAAGCCATTGCAGATGCGAAGGTAGAGCTCAAGCGCATATCGTACGTTTCACTTCGGTTTGCCTTGTGAATTCGAGCGATCGATAGCTGACAGTCCTTGTGTTGCCATGCTTCAATCCAGCGATGTTGTGGAGCTGTACAGCAACACGCTGTACCGCGGAACGGACGAGCCACGCGCAGAGATTAACGACGCCTTCTCCCGCAAGAGTCTTCTGAAATGAGAAAAAGGCTTTCAATCTTTTCAAATAGTAATGTATGCAGACAATTTAAAACCTCCAGCTATTCTTCGGTTGCAGGAGACATCGCTTGTATTTATCGGACGCTCAAAGTTACGTACTCTAGCTAGTAGAGGCCGAAAAAGCTCAGGAACTTCTTAGAGAACTCCACGCCAAGGAAGCAGGCGGCGTTGGCCGGGAATGCGCGAGCCATCGCAGGTCCCACACCGTTGAAAAGCGCACCAGGACCTTCTTCCATCATCAGCACCTGGAAACAATGCACGATGCCGCGGTATGTGCCCTCCGGAGCAGTCTGGATACGCGACTTGATCACATCAGGCGGAATCGCGATGACCCAGTTGATGATACCGGCAAAGCCACCAGCCACAAACACACGGAAAGCGTTCAAGTCGGACGGATCCTTGCCCTTGGGCGTTAAGCCGCGCTTGATTGCCTCAAACCCGCCAAAGTATCCGACAGAACCCGGAACATCGCGGAGTAGAGTAGCTTCCCAGCCGCGAAAGATACTTGACAGACCACCGGTGCGGTACAGTTTCTTGGCACAGTCGATCATACCGTCGTACAGCTTAGGCTCACCTCGCTCCACGGCTTGTGCCTGGATCTGGAGCAAGCACTTGATGCGCTCGCCAGGAGCCATGACCACAGTGGCAGGGATGGCCGAGAAGCCACCAGCAAACATGATCTGACCCATGGACAGCGGCGCTGTGGGCGATTGTCCCGAAGCCTTGATCTGTAGAGCAATGGTTAGGACATTATAAAGCGTGTGCATTTGCTCGGAAGATGTACTTACGGCAATGAGCTTGCCCATGTCGTAGCCCCAGAAGCATGTGGCGAAGATAGGACTGACACCCACTAGTGGCGCTGACATGCCACGGTACAAACCGCGGACCTGAATTAGAAAATGGATCGAGTAGAGTTAGCATCACCCTATTGCTGCAAAAATGATTGCGAGTGGCCGTACCCCGTCCTTGGCGACCATCTTGCGCGCGCAGTCGAGGGCGTTGGAGTACATGGGCGGCTGACCTGGCAACGGCTTAGGCTGCGTCTGCATGTTGACCTTGATGAGGTCGAGCGGGTGGCCCGTCGCCACAAGGCACATGCCTGGATTGATACAACACGGTTATTCGATACTGACGCGAAGGTAGCAGCACTACAAGTGAGCAAGACATACCGCCAAACCCGCCGGTCACGAAGGACACCAGACCCGACGTCGCTGCAGGTAGAAGATAGAGGAGCAGAAAAGCAGAGCACATTAGCCACGATCATTTGCGAGACGAGCAGAACTGCCGACGCCACGTACGCTTGTTTGTCGCTGCTTCCTCGCTCATTGTTGCTGGAATAAGAACTGTGTGTGGGGTCTGGGGCTCCTTGAAGCGGATTAATAAGTGGGGTGGACGCTTCACGTTCGGCTGTGCGAGGAGTCTGCCGTTTACGTGTGCAAGACTGAAAACTGAAGACGTTGCGTACGTTGCTTCAAGTTGTCTCGTGACTTGGATTCAGTATGAGCTTACACCTGAAATGCAAGATCGTGTTCTTAATTTGATAAATTTTCGAAGGTCACTTTCTTGGCTAATGTATGGGTGTTAAATGATGCTGCCTCGCAGGGCATTGCGTTTTCATCGGCTATTGCGTTTCACGAGGTGAGCTCCTGTTGCTATCGTCACCAAACAGTACATTTTACACGTATCCTGCCACCAACGTGGGAAAAGGGGACGGTGAGATGATCATTGTCGACCTGAGTCAATCACCACAAGAACTTGATCAACATCAGTCAAGGGCATGCTACTGATTCAAGAAGAAGTCTACAACGCCGGTTGTCAGTAGCGCGCATAAGTCGAGGGGAGTTTTCGATTCCTGCCACAGGAAACAAGACGCAATTCCACGGTGTTAAACATACAGCAGACCTAGCGCTAATGACAACTACAAGCCTCGGTTGTCAGCAGCGTCGACTTGTGGTCAAGGTACACGAATCGATTGCTAGAATCGCTGGAATTCTCAGTAGTTGGTTGGCCCTTTGTCAGAGTAAGCCCTGTTCGTATTGTGAGGCACCTTAACAAGTCGCCACCCACCCGGCAGTGCTGCAGGGTTCAACATGGAACAAACGGCCACGTTGCAGTTCAACGTGCCCCATGACTCGTTGTGTCCATTGCGCGAACGCTCTGGTAACCACCGACCCGATGCGTCTCAGGCACTACTGCTCGTGTTCGTACACTGCTAGGTGCAGCGGAGCGTGAACGCAAAAGTCAGCAAGCCGCTTGACTGGTTCTGGTGAAGAACAGGCTCACCACTTGATCTGCACCAGTGACAGTGTGCGTAGAGCCGCCAGCAATCTTGCAGAGCCACCAACTCTCGTCCTCGTGTGAAGCCGGCGCACGATTCGCCGAAATGAGTCGTCGGATTGGCTGTAAAGTGGTCCATTTCTACCAATCATCAATCGCGGGTTTCTGGGTGGGCTGCGTTTCGATTTCTCTTTCTCTGCTCTCACTTTTCCTTCTGCCGATGGCTCGATCATTGCTGAATTTGCCGTCTGGGGCGCAAGTGCTTTCTTGACAGCCTTTCAGTTGAGAAGAAGAGGGCGAGTCTTAGAGGAAGAGCCACCTCTTGAGCACGACTAACTGAATCCTACGTACTGTAGCGGGTTTCCACCTCGCCGTGCTTTGCGGTGTTCCCAACTCTCGTTTTCTCTCGCTACATCCTTTCGTTCTAGCAGCGTTGCTGCCCTGTTTGTACCCGTGCATCTCATCGAGCAGCACCAGGCTCCTGAGTCACTACCAACCCACATCGCCGCCTGGCCCACGTTATGGAAGTGCAGGTGGACACTATGCCGATCAACCAGAGTTCCAAGAAACGCAAGAGCCTCTTCAGTGGCGCTTCACCCATCGCACCGCGCGTATCTGCATGCGGACCATTGCGCACGCCCGTGGCCACACCGCCGATGTCCGACGCTTCATCCTCGTCATCGGACAGCGTCAACCTGTCAGCAGCGTTAACCGCGCTCAAGGTGTCGCTCAAGCGCGACTTGGAGAGTTTCGCTCCTCCCACACCTGCAGTGTCGCCAGTCCACGGCCGTGGCTCGGCCAAGCGCGCTCGCTTCGACTTCGAATCCATCGAGGAGGAGTCGGAAGTAGACGCTGAGAAGCAGCAGCGAGTCAAGACTCCCACAGCATCTCCACCCAAGACTGTGAACGCGCTGCTGGCCGTCAGCAGCCGCATCAAGTTCGAGCTAGAGAAGCGTCGCCGTCGTGAACGTGAGCGCGCACAGAAGCCCCGTAGAAGAAAACAGCTGAGTTACTTCGCCATCGTCGGTGCCTTTCAACGCGCGGCGCACGAGCGCGAAGTCGCCGTGCAGGTCGAGTGCGTCGTAGAGGCGTCGACGGATTAACAACACATCGTCGAGCACCAGCAGCTGGCAGTCCGACCTACTCGCCGGACGGAGACACTTCTGTCATTCCCCCCTGTGGCGTCGAGCATTTTGAGCTATCTATTCGAGCCACGTCGTCTTGTGCAAATAACTATCGTACCAATACAGAAATATTCCATACTTGTATGTTCCTACCTCTCAGTCTTCCCGTTCCGTTCGTGGTCGTATAATTCTATCAACCCGCGGTCAGATTTCCCGCAAGGAACCATGCAAATGTCGCGACATTGTCCAGACATCTATCGCCACCTGGTTACTCCATTACACGCATAGCGTGGCACGACTTGCAGGCATGTCGCTCATGTTCCGTGTGGCCAGGCGATGGCGTGCCGTCGATATTGTAATGGGCGAAACCGGCCACCCCGTCACACAGCGACGTATTTGCAGACTGGAAGAGCGCTATGAGAAGTAGCAGACGACTTGCACTGGCGAGTGCCACTGTATAAAGTCGCTTCATCCCGTGCCACTTTAATCCTACACCGCTTCCATATCGAGCGATGATTGGCTATATTTATCAATCTGGTCTATGATTGGGTCGTTGAGGAGGTTACGTTATTGCCGCTCTTCTGGCCAGTCCTTCCTTCGGCTAGCACATTGACCACCATGAGCGTGATCGTCGCCGAAGCCGAGAAGCGCACGCAGGCGTACCTGTCCAAGATCGAGAATGGCCAGACATTGACTGCCACGTCGCTGGCTGCGCTCAGCAAGGAGCTGCCGGCCTTCAAGCAGATCACGGGTAAAGTGCGCGACGTGTATGTGTTCGAAGACCGCGTACTGCTGGTGTCCACGGACCGCCAGTCGGCCTTCGACCGTGCTTTGGCTTCCGTGCCCTTTAAAAGCCGTGTGCTGACACTGACGAGCGTCTGGTGGTTCAACCAGACCAAGCACATCGTGGCCAACCACCTGCTGGGCGTGCCGCACCCGTCCGCTATGCTCTGCAAGAAGTGCACGGTGTTCCCCGTGGAGTTTGTGGTGCGTGGCTACATCACGGGCTCCACGAGCACGAGTATGTGGACCAACTACAAGAACGGCAGCCGCGATTTCTGCGGCCACAAGCTTAAAGATGGCTACAAGCAGCACCAGAAGCTGCCGCAGAACCTCGTGACCCCCACGACCAAGGATGATGAGCATGACGAGTTGATCTCGGGAGTGGAGATTGTGCGTAGTGGACGCATGACCCAGGAGCAGTGGGACTACTGCGAGAAGAAGACGCTCGAGCTGTTCGCTTTCGGTCAGGAGCAGGCGGCTAAGCGCGGTCTCATCCTGGTGGACACCAAGTACGAGTTCGGCTTTGACGAGGCCACCGGTGAGATTCTCCTTATCGATGAGATCCACACGCCTGACTCCAGTCGCTATTGGCTGGCTGACTCGTACGAGCAGCGTATGGCTGAGGGTAAGTCACCCGAGAACATCGACAAGGAGTTCCTCCGTCTGTGGTTCAAGGAGCGATGCGATCCTTACAACGACGCCGTCCTACCCGAAGCCCCCAAGGAGCTTGTGAGCGAACTGTCGCGCCGCTACATCATGCTTTACGAGCTCATCACCGGCTTGGAGTTCGAGTTCCCCGCCGCCGACACCAAACCCGAGGACGAACTGGTCGAGGGCGTCCGCAAGGCCCTGCTGTCTTAGGTTCTTCCTGAGGCAAGATCTCGCTGTAGATCAATACATATACATATTCACCAATCTGTCTTTAAGCGTTACTTTTTAGGCGACGATGGGGATTCTCGTGCTTCTCTCCTGCCTACGGACGTTGACTCGCTCACCCCGTTCCCTTCGACTGGTGGGGTTGGTGCTGGAGTTACTGATGATGTCGACGTCACTGCTGGCGCTCCCTCAGGACCTACGGGTAGCACCGACGCTTTTGAACGCTGCCGCGGAGAAACTGGCTGCTTCTTTGCGCATGTGAGAGGCACGTTGTGTTGCTGGAAGAATTCTGCTGTCTCGCTCGGACTGGGGTTTTCAGTCCAATGAGCCTTAAGATTGCGAGCTTTCTGACTTCGATGGATAAACACCAACATCATTGTAGCTGCGCGTAGTCTCCTGATCGGACTGAGCTTCTGCATGTCCCGATGCGCCAGCTTGACCACTCCACTGATTGTGATGAAAGCACCGAGCGAGAACATACCAAGCGCGAGTGGTGTCATCTTTGCGAACTCTTTAAAGTACACGCCACCGCCAAAGATGGAGATGGAGATGAAGAAACATTGGAAGACTGGAACGACGAAGACGGCATCGAATTTCTGCAGACCGTGAGCGAGCCAGTGGATCTGCATGAAGACACAAGTGAGCATGCTGAACGCGATAGCGTAGGGGCCGAACGTCACGAACTGGTTGTCCCCCTCGATTGTTGTCTTCATAAGTTCCGCCATCGACTTGGCGAACAACACAGATTGTGCACCAAAAATGCCAGAAAGCGCGGGGTAGCTGACCGGATGAAGCTTGCGGAAACGCGTGTACTCAGGCGAGGTCCTTCCTTTATGCTTCAGTGTGTGTTCCATCTTCCTCGTTAGTAGAAAGAGTAATAAGCAGGAAACGCTCATTAATGTAGCGTATACTGCAAAGAGCGGCTCGCGGTAGAGTGCAATCAATTCGTCGACGGTATAACACGCGCTCTCCTTTTCAGCGAATATAGCGACGACGGTGATGCCAAGTAATACGAGAGCGGTGCCAATAGCATCAGACTTGGTGAACTTCTCCTTGAGCAACAGCGACGCGAAGGCGACATTGGCAACCATAGTCGACCCACCAACAGGTGTAGCCAGCGACTGCGGCATGAAACCCAGCGCCACGAAGTCTAGGACGCTGCCGCCGACCACGAGTAGCAGCCCAATTACCCACAGCGGCTGACGGAAGTAGCCGCGTTTGTCGCCAACACTACGGCCCTTGGCTTCACGCATGAAGGAGAACTTCTGCAGATTTACACCCATGTTGGTGCAGATCGAGCCGACGATTGTCAGAATCACGCCCACATACCAGAGCCCATTGGACTTCTCTTTATGCTCACCACAGCCCATGGCTAGCCGTCGTACGGAAGTTAATCGAAGGTGGCGACGCTGCTTACACTTCGGTTGGCTCGATGCTCGTCTAGTTTACCTCTCATGACTATGTTATGCATTTAGCTTTATATTTATAAGGTGTGTCGTAAGTTCCGCCAGCAATAGCATAATAGAAGCCAGTGACATCTTGGTTTTTGTATGCTACAAGTTGAAGTGAGATGCTAGACTTCTGGCGTGACGTGACTACTTGGTTGGTGCTGGCTTCGATTCATTTACGGACATCGCAATCTTATTATCGTGACAGAAATTAGCGCTGTCATTGACAGTGTCAATGGACAGCGACGCACAACGCAGACAGCACAGAGAGCTTCACTTCGTGGCTTGAGCCAGCTCCGCTGAAGCGACGCGAAACTTTGACATTTCCCCCTTGAAACGCCGAGAAGCAGTGAAGCTGATCACAGTCGAGGAATGGAGATTCAGAAAAACAGCGACAGCCATAGTACGAAGCATTACTAAGTTAGTAACAATGCTTGTCAGGCTGCTGCGGTCTGCAACTCATAGTATTAGGGGTTGTCAATACTCTTGGAGAAAAAGATTGATGAGGATTCCTGGTTGAGGAGCACCCATTGCGTGTCACTGCACCAAACCAGCACTATTGTTCTGGATCTTCCCGACACAAGGAACTAGAAATGAATCCACTTGACTTCATGATATTTATTGGCGAGGAATCGCCTCGCATCCCTACGATCTACCTACTAGCGCTCTCCTAAGGTGCCTCCACAACGCTACACTATGACATTAATCTTTCCACTACACTAGCACCTCTCGGTTCAGCACAGAATGGACTGGAGAGACATTGGCACGCTGGCTCGGCGCGTATTAAGACGCTCCGCTGACGGTCCGGGCGCACCACTCTCAGCCGTCCAGTCCTGTTGTGACGGTGCGACCACCAACGAAGTAGCAGTCCCACTCGCGGCATCTTCATCGTCGGACATAGCGGTCTGCACCGTAGTGGACACCGCTGCTTTCTTGCGGCTCCTGGCGCGGTTACCGCGCTTAACCATCTCTTCGGTAGCTGGGGAGGCCAATCGCCCTGCAGAGATACCCTTGGCCGCCGTGTTGGGGTCTTGCATGATACACTCGAGTGTGTACTCGAAGGCCGCGATCTTTTTGGCAATGTACTCCTTGTTGGTGCCTTTGGCCACACTCAGCGATTCACGCAGCATGTCGATGCTCTTTTGCAAGCTGCGGATCTGTCGATGCGGCCAGCGTTGGATACCGTGACGACGGCAGATCTTCTTGAGCAACGTGGCACAGATACCGAATTTACGCGCGACGGCGGCGATAGGCATGTTAAAGCATTCCCTCAAGTCCTCGAGCTGCACCACAGGGCCGTAGCGTTTGCTGCTGCCGCGAGGCGTGGCTGTCACGGCCCGTGTGGGTGGCGCTACTACTGTGGGAGCTACAGGGTGCAGCGGCAACTTGTAAGCCATGGGACTCACGGAGCTGAACGCGTCGAAATTGAAGACGTCGGCGGGGCTCTCGGCGCCAGAGGGCGCAGAGGGCAGTGATACCTCCACGGACAGACCGGTCATCTTACTGCGGTAGCTCGGCTGCTGTTGCGGCTCGAGCTTGACAGTATCCATTCCGGCGGGGCGGTCCCGCTTGAGTGACATGAGGATCTCACCCATGAGCATATCGTCGTCGCTGAGCGAGTGTGACTCCATGGTGGCCAGTGCTGCGATGGTAGACGGACGGATGCGCCACGAAGAGAGCAGATAGCGTTATGACCGGCGTTGGGGTGGCCATTGTGGCGACAGGTGGGCGGGAATCGAGTGGCGCGTGCGAGTAGCTTCCATTTTTTGCCAGTTTGACTGGGTTTCAGTATGGGCGACGTGAGCAGACGCTAAACTTCAAAAACCTTCAGGGTTTTATACGGGAGCAGGTCGGATCAGACCAATACAAACCGCGAATCAACTGACCTGTTATAATTAATCGCGAAAGGTTGAAGGGATCTGCGCATCCCTCCGCATCCCTTCGACGCGCTTGCGGCGACCTTCACGCGACCATCCAGCGACAACGCGTCCCTTCGGACACGCAAAGAGATCTTCACGCAGCTGCGACAGAAAGCGCCCCACAACGTGGCCTTGGCGCTGCCGACTTGGCAGTGCCATCACTCGTTGTGTGTTGTACTGCTGAGCCGCATAATGTGTCTTGCTCACTTCACGTGCCAATAGCTTCCACTAGTCGTCCGTCCGACAGCTGGTGACGCGCTATGCGGACAACGCCAATGCCTCCTCTGAGACAGCCATCGACGCTGAATTGGCTGTGACGCCACATATCATGTACCGAGTTTGCAAGGGTAGTATTTTTGACCAATCGAATGGTGTTTAAACTTGCGTTTCAGCTGAATCTGGTCGCGTCAATCATGGCAACTTCAAATGCCGTTCACACAATACTGTACTGGATCGCCACCGTATCAGCTCGACAGGATGAGCTTCGACCCGACCGCGGCATTGCCACCTGCTGCTTGGAACTGCATTCAAAGTGGTCGTTTTGCCAGCACCGGATTCGTTTGCATGAGTCATGGTTCTCAGACAAGGGATGTGCATAGTGCTGCTATTCTTCGGTCTTGGAGTCAGTCTCAGCAAAAGTAGAGATCTCTGAGCGAAGACCGGCACCACCACAGCCACTGTCCGTGCATAATGGCACGGAAGAGGTTCCGGAAGTTGAACGGGAAGCCCAACCGCACGCACCGGCAGAGTAGAATCCGAGGTGGTAGGGTCCGCAGCCGGTACGACAAGGGCAGCTAATCTCTATCTTGTGTAATAAGTATTGTGCTAGTGGCACTGTTGTGCTGCTCATGCTATTTTTTTTTTAGCAACATGTTAGTATCGAGTATTCGTACATCAACGACATGTACAAAAGATTCCCTTGTCACGATGAATCTACATCTTCAGCATATTTTTGCGATCATGAAGAGATATTCAAAACAATTCGCATGCAAGAGGGCATGTGATCTTTCATTATGTACACTGATGGTATCACGGGTGTGTTGATACGATCTGTTGGTGTTCCGAGGAGCGTTGCACGAAGTGGAGCGGAGCAGGTAACCATGAGGTTGGTCGTTAGTGATTACAAATAGCGTGGAGAATTCGCTATCGGTGCTGTTTACCATCATCCCAAGTCAGGCCCAACTTTCAACAGCATCCAGAAGTGTAGGTGTCCTCGTGCTTGGTCTGTAAGTACGATCTCCTCGGCTGGTCAATCTTCTCAACGGTGCAGAGTGAGATCAGTCTTGGATGACAACATTAGGTCATTTCGACTGCAGCAGTGACGCCGGATGGCAATGCTCGCCATGATGACGAGGACACCGATGGCAACGGAGACGATCTTATGGTGATGTCCCCTTGTGTCGTTACCATGTATGCTTTAGTTATGTCTTTGGAGCAGCGAGTGAATTGCCTGGAAACTATATCGGTCGGAGACCACGGCCAACACCTCTCGCGTCGGCGCGAGGTTAGTGATGCTACAACGATAGTCGGTGTTGCTACGGACGCAGAGACCCCCTGCTGGTGTCCACATCAAGTCCGCCCGCATCCAAGAGGTCGAAGTAAAATATAAGACTTCGATTTGATTGGTAGAAAACTGTTCGACTTCAATTAATTACGCACAATATGCAACATCCAATAATTGCTATTGTTTCATTCTCAAGCCATCCGATGGGAGACCGGCGCCCTCGGCGCTTCGGCGCGCGGCACCACACGACGCGCGTATCCGCACCCTCGGGCCCACACGGTGGCGGACCGGGTGGCTCACACTACGCCAACACGCTGGAGTTCGAAACTGTAGCCTCTGAGCGCTCAGTCCCTCGGAAGTACGTGCCATGCGTTGCCTTATTGCCACGCTATCTGTTGCATTTGGCATCACTGATACTCACGTGCATCATTCTGTACACTCAGCCACCAGCACAGAGCCAACTGGGAGGATACACACAGCCAATTCGACTTCAGCCAGGATAATCAGTCTCGTGGGCAGCTGGAAGGGCCCCATGCACCCGACAAGTACAAATCCAGTCGACCTAAGGCCAGTGGCCAGAGTATCAGTGCCCCAGGGTCATCTTTCGCCAATTCCGCGTCCTCCACGTCAACTCCAGGCGTCGCCGATGGAGTTCTCAGCAAAGTAAACAAAAACAATTATTGTTATTGGACGTGGAAAATCTAACAATTTTTTTTCTACGTGATGCCGCAGGGTTTCATTCCACCAAAATCCCAGGGTGATTTTCTGGATAATTTAACAAAGATGAACACAAGAGCCAATCGCGGCTCCGGGTCGATACTGAAGGCGATGGCGTACTCAACATCCTCGTCGTCGTTGGAAATTACCAGTGCACCACCCAAGGAAGATATTTCCAGGCCACATACAGGATCCAGTGGATGGGTAAACACAAGAATGAAGCAGCTACCGGCCAAACCCCGGATCTTATTAACAGCCAGTGAGAAGAGGATGAAGTTAAGTAACAACACAAGGAAGACGCCGTCGCCAGTGGTGAGTCACTACTCGCTACGGGACCGGAACAAAACCACTTTATTTGGTATCTCACCGACCTCGACAGCGCCGTTTTCGATTCGAAACTCAAGAGTATCGAGACTGGGCAAGAGGAAAATGAGCAGCGAAGGCTCAGCGTCGAAGCCCATTGCGCTGGACTCGGATTCGGAGCCTGACGTGCAGTCAGATAGGGATATTGTGGACGAAGTTCTGGACGATACGAGGAGAACTACACCGTTAAAGAAGCAGGACGTGAAAGCAGCTGTTATTGACCTGGACGACATGGCGCTGCGTGCCATGGCACGGCTCAACAATTGCGACGTGATGATTGGACTGTTCCAATGCATCGTCGACATGTTCTTCCAAGGTGACAGTATGTGTATGCGCAATATTCGGGGGAAAAACGAGACTTGGCCGTTCGAGGAGAACTATCTCTTCAATCTCGACAAGCTGCACGATATCAGGTATTACTGTGTGTCCAAGGAGGTCGATGTGAGCGTAGAAATCGATGTCGACGAGCCCGATCGGATGGAACAGTTGCTAGACGAAGCATCATTCATGGCATTCAAGCTGCCGTTTGCAAGCGAAGCTGATCAAACTGCGATGAAAGATTTTTACGACCCCACTGGCACAGGTACGCCGAGATCTGTTGTTGTTGTGCCGTGGCAGATTTATAACTGTTATAGTTGCTATGGAATGTTAGATGTTTCAAAAGGATACATGGTTCTTCGTCCGCTGGAGGATACAACAGGAGGAGATTTGAGTCAGATTCAAGAACACCTGCGCTCTTTTGGGGATGTCCAAGCAATGTATGGTGCAGCTAGTTCACACCTTGTTTTACTTGCCTCGCGCTAACATTTTGGCATGTATTTTACTGGCAGAAATGATAAGAAACAAGCGAAAGAACACCTGGAAGCCTTGCTGAGGGATCCCTTTAGCTACAAGGCCAGTAGGCAATCTCAACGAAGCGCCACTGAAGCAGACGCAGAGAGGTGCGTATAAATGCTTAGCTTGACAAGATTTTGAGCTGATTTTTTGTTTGTTGCGTCCACAGTTCGTCGGAGTCGGAGGAAGATGATGAGGAGGGCAGCATCACTGTGCTAACGTACCCATTGCCGCCCTGCACCTCGGATATTGTCACGATCATCCGCCGCGATGTATCGCGACTGAAGCCCAGGCGCTACCTAAACGATAGCATTATCGACTATTACTTCAAGTAAGTTAAATATTGCGAGCTCTGTAGCTACAATGTGATAACTAACGCCGTTCTTGGTGTTTTACAGACGCATGATGTTGGACAGCTATCGAGATAACAAAACTGTCCAGGAGAAAGTTCTCTTCCTCAATTCGCACTTCTACACACGCCTTCGAGGGGGGAAAGGAGCGACTGCGCTGGAGCGGATGGAAGCTGGATACAAAAATGTGTCCACGTGGCTCGCGCGCTCCAATTTCTTCGACCGCTCCATCATATTTATTCCAATCAACAAGGAGTACGGCGCAGTCGATGAACTCTGGCAATCTTTGTGGTGCTGACTGGATGTGTGTGTTCTTTACAGCTTGCACTGGAGCCTTGCTGTGATTTTGAACCCTGGACTGGCAGGATCTGACACCATTAACGAGGTAAGTTTTGCTCTTAAAATTCTGGATAATATTTGACTAACATAATATATTTTATATTATAGGAGGCTTTTTCGTGTATCGCTGTGCTGGACCCACTTGGCTCGTATCATCGCAAAGCTGCCATTATCCGTAACTTAAGAGCGTACGTACAACTTTATACTGCTCATGTTATGGTAATTATTGTGTTTTAACATTTTTGATACGACCCAGATTTTTGCGGATGCGTTGGGAGAATTCTCAAGACAATGTAGGCGACTACGGGGTGGATCGCGTTCTCACGGTGAACGTCAAGGCGCCACAGCAAGAGAACAGCTACGACTGCGGTGTTTACGTGTTGAAGTTTGCCGAAGTGATGCTGAAAAATTGTCTGGAACTCAACTTGCTGGATCAGAATGAAGGAGTGATAAGCAAGGACGTGACAGACGGCAATCTCGAGGCTTTGATCACTTCGAGCGCGTTCTCTGCGGAGGACATCACGGCCACTCGCAAGCAGATTCGGCAGTACATTGAGGCTGATGCGAGTGAGTATCAAATTCGCAGGAAGGAAGAGAGGGCCAAGGTTTAAACAACAGTAATGCGATATTAGCACGGTTTTGGCAAGTTGAAACAAAAAAAACTTGCCTTTTCGGTGTTCGACATGCCGAGCGAGTGGTTTAAAACTGCCTTGCGTTTCGTGTGAATTGCATCCCGACGATCTCGCCACTTGTTAAACCAGCAACTTCAATTTCGTCTGCATCTCTTCAGGATCGTGCGGCCTTGATAATATCTCTGGTTCCAGCAATGTGGCTATGGCGTTAGTCAAGAACGCGCAGTCGACAGCTAATATAGGGGCCGAAATGTGCCACCAGCCAGACGCACGCGCCGAAATTAGTAGAGACTCTGGGCTGAAGTCTGGAGATGTGCTGCTTCAGCACTGAGCTGATGAGCTGGGCAGTGTGTTCAGTGTACAAGACTGGAGTAAACGTCCTACACTCTCGAGGCCATACCGGAGATTGCCGTTGGTCCTTGCCGGTTGAAGGTCAGGCTCAATGGCTTGGTAAGAAAAAAAAATCATCACCGGTACTGCTTGGCAAAGCCTCAGAGGCTGAAAGGCCTGAGAAAAAGTGCGAAGATGGGAGCAAAACGACTGGGATCATGTTTGCCGCTGGTGTAATGCAACACGGGCTGGGAAACAGACCGCGGAAAAGTCTGCAATGCCACCACGAGCTGAGCCATCTGCCGAGAAAGACTTTCGCGGCAGATGGGTCAAAAAGTTGGATGCAAAACCCAGCAAGCATCGCCACAGTGCTGCAGAGCACGCCAAGCAGCGATCCGTTGTTTGCTTTGAAGTTTTCCGGCGTTGAGACTAAGATCCATGGGTACGGCTCTTCACGCCAATTCGACGCCAATGCTGCCATCACGTGGGGAGTATCCGCGTTCCAGATTCGTTCCTCAGCTTTAGAGTCCTCAGCATTGCAGCCTGTAAGTCTGAATGACTTCGCGTTGAATCTGCGCGTCCTGCATGGCAAAATCAAATCAAAATTGCACTTGTTGCCTCTGCCTCAACCCGAGCCGCACAAATAACCCTCTCCAATCAAGTTTTCCTTACCCAATTGGCAATGTCGGGGCATCACATTAGAAAGACAACAATCAAGATACTTCCACACAATCTTGAATCGGATTAGTGCGTGTTATACATTTATCAAGGTTTTGCGGCGGTCGTGCGACGTGTTTTTGCTTCGTGTCAGCGCCCTTTCTTTCGCATATAAATTTCAAGACGAAACCGGCCGCCCCATCCACAGCCGGAAGTCGCTCGCCCGACGCTTCATTGCGCAAAGTCTCGGCAGGATAACAAAACTCCCAAGTTTTCATTTATTTGCAGCAGCGAGTTTCATTACCACACGCTTAAAGCTAATTTAGTCAGCAGTATCGCATCACACCAGCGTAGATTAATCATGTCGGACGTCGTCGTGCCATCCTTCTTCCCGACGCCTACCGAGATCGCTGGAGGCATCCGCTGGGTCAAGCAGCACCCCGTCGTGGCCACAGCCGCCGCCGCAGCAGCCACCGCCGTGAGCGTGTTCACGTACCTGAAAGCAGCAGCAGCCGAGGACGAACACGACCTGAAGTTAGCAGTTCTCAGCCCCCGCAAGGAGGACGAAGCCGATGACCTGTGCAGCAGCACAGAGAGCGACGCGTCCACCCCATCAAGAGGCCGCACGTTGAGTCCTCGCGATCTCAGTGTACGTTGCAGTATGAGGAAAGTTTTTTGGTGAATTTGGTGGTAACGTGTTGATGACTGTCTTATGCAGTTCGGAGAGTTAGATGCCGAAGCGGAGAACGAGATGGAGACGGACGTAGCAGTGGAGAACAGTGAGCTGGAGGCAGCGTTGCAAGAGGCAGACGGAGAGACTGTGTCTCCACAGTGGGGATGGTATGTCTCCACCACGCCACCCGAAGACTATTACCATTGATCTGCAATTCCTCCATCATCAAGTGCCGTTTAATTTTGACCCAACTCAGCGTTGCGACGGACTCCCCCCTTATGCGGTGAACTCAAGAGCTGCTACACTCCCAGACAGCTTCTTTAATTTGCCAGACGGAGGAGAAATGTTTCTCTTCTCCAAGCGGGTGGCTTTGCCCACCCATTCATCTATTTGTCCTAATATATTGAGTCCTCACACCGCCAACCTCTCTTCGAGTTTTTAACATCCAAAACTTTAGAAGCTTTTTGTCATTTCAACTGGTAAAGTGGCCACTGATAAAAACGACAATTCGTTACTTGGTTCAGTTTAAACCGTTGAATGGTGAAAAAAAAAAGAATGTCGTCGAAGTGAAACGCTGAAGGTTACGTTTTCATCTTCAAACGTTCGTCTACAGTTTTTCAAGCAGAGTGATGGTTATATTTTTGAGCAGACAGAATCTCTATTAGGTTGAATACTAGCTGGAACTATTAGTTGTGCTTACGCGGACGCTCCGCGATCGCAGGAGACACGGCGTGCCCTCGTAGCTGACGTGTTGGTGACTGCTGCAGTCTCTAGGACGAGCTGCACGCCTTCGGCACTCAAGAAGTTGTCTTCGAGGCCGAGGAATCGCAGAGGGCAGGCGGATCCCGCCAACAGTCTTTGCAACTCATTCACGCAGTTGTCTGTGACGAGGTTGCCACCCATACAAAGCACCTGGAGCGATGGACTCGTCTGGAGAGCGGACAGAACGGCTCGCAGTCCGGTCTCGCCAATGAAGTTGCGCCTCAGGTCCAAGCGGGCGAGACGAGGGGCTTTAGCGGACTGCAGCAGCCTCGCAACTTCACTGGCACCGAGGTCAGCCAGGCTGTTGCCGGCTAGCAGCAGATCCTCTAGAAGCGGACAGCCCGTTTCCAGGGCGCCACACAACGCGCGGAGGCCGTTGCGGCTCATGGTGTTGACAAACACAGAGATGAGCTGCAGCTTCTTGAGGCTCGGGAAGGCACCGGTGGTTAACGCGCCGGCCAGAGCGAGCACAGCGCTCTCTCCATCGTTAGTTTGAGTCGCCGGGAGCTCAGCACAGCCCCAAGCATAGAGCGGCGTCGTAGCAGGCCCCACCCTCGGAACCACAGGGGATATTGACAACACGCCAGCCTTGTGCACTACAAGTTGCTGGAGGTTTGTCATTTGCAACATGGACGAGTTGTGGCCAAGCCCTCGTGTCAACTGTGTCACCTCGACCGTCAGACTTAATGCGCAGCCTGGCAAGAACGAAGCCGCGAAGCGGTTTAGCATACGTTGACGCATAATTTCCTTGCCGTCTAGAAACGAGAAGACCAGACGCGTGCAGTCCTCACCGATCATGGCGAAGATACTGCTCGCTGGTGTGTAGATGCATCGTCGACGTTTAATCCTGTTCACTTGCATCAGGTTTCTTGATACATGGCGCTTCCTGCTGTGTGCCACCGTCTCACTTGCAGCGGATTCGTGTACGCTGGAAGCCACGAGGCTTTGCAGTCGTCGTCGAAGAGTGGCTAAGTTGCGGTACTCGGTAAGCGACCCGGCACGGGAATATAGAGCCAATTCGATACGTTTGGCTAGCAATACCGCTCGCTCCGGGTTCACGTCGGACTTGCTTTGAGTCTGCGAGAGCTGTAGAATGCGCTGTACCATCATACGACGCTCGGGTAAGTGGCTGACGGATTGCCACGGGGCCTGTTCGCTCTGTATATTGTGGAAATCGTCGTGCAGTTTAGCGCTGTCAATGCGCTTGGCGTTGCATCGTTCCGGTGCCCATTGCGGAGGTTGAGCCACGGATCCCGTCGGCGTGGAAGGAGCCATAACCTGTGCCTGCATTGATCGCGATCGACTGGAGTTGGCTGTCGGCCGGCAAAAGTGGAAATGGCAACTGCAGTCGACTCGAGCTCCAGTGGGCACCATGCTCTCTCTTCTACAGCACCCGCGGCTCGTTTCTTGCGGGGCTGGAGGCTCTTCTCTGAAGTTGCCAGTCCGAGTCGTCGGGGCATTGAAACGTCCGCATGCCCAGCTGAAACTCGAGAAGAGCTGCCGTCATGCCTTCGAGCGCGAAAAGACGAGCGGACAGATGCCAACCGTAAGTGTGAGCAAAAGATCGCCTTTCGACGAGAAAAGAGAGTGAAGCCGGCATGTTTGCGGCCAGGGCACTAGTTGTCGCTGGACTGTAATGCTTACCTTGGCTCCACAGACCGATTTGCCGGCGTTTGACATGACTTTTACCATCAATATGCATGGAAATCGTTCGCTTTGGTGTTGGGAATGCGCCAACATGTTGCACTCAGCTCTTCTGGTAATTGAGTTGGTCACCCCCACGAGATAAACAGACAGACCCTGCTCTCTCACATGTAGAAGCTGAATCGGCTTGCACCTTCCACTGTGAATCGACCCGCTCGCTGATTATGGAGAGCAAAGCGAGCGCGGAGAAAACGCTTCTACAGAAACCACCTGCGGGCTCACTCGGTAACCGTGAGTAAGAGGGCATGGAGGGCATTAGAAAGATGTAGAGAGAGATCATTCCATGGTCTTGGTTGCGTGGATTATCCTCCATCGCCTGCAGATCGGATATTTGAGCTACGACTGATAATTTATCAGAGCACGTTGGCGCTTTTAGCTAAAGAGGGCGTGAGATAGAAGCCACCAGAGCTTGTGCTAAAGTGTCTGCAGATGGACGCAACCACTGCGTGTAGTGTCGAGCGGGGGGAGCGCTTGTGTCCTACAAAAGCTGTCTGACGACCTGTACAGCTTTCTACATGAACGTCGTTGAGCTCCGATCCATCGTCGACGGACGGTCGAGAGCTGAAGCAGCCGCGTTTGCTGATGTTGAAGTGCAAAGGACGGCCGGCACTCTCACCATTTCGCCAGCTCGATGCTGTGGCGGCAGCACGAAAGTGCTCGCTCGTCACGTCTTTATTTACCTCGAAAACTTGAGCCATCAAGTGCAAAGACGGCAAACGCCAACAGTCAAACGCGTCCTGCACGGCACCAGGTAAAGGAGAGCTTAACCAATTCTTTTGCGTTGCGAACGCTGGATTGGCTTCTGTGCTTATCTTTCGTGGCGAACGGCTGCAATTTGCATGTTATACATGTAGAAACCATCGCAATTGGGCTTCTTGTATCATACGAGTCGGTCAGGTGTTGGTGGACGTGTGACTCTAAGTAAAAATTGTGTGCAATCCGCGCCGTCCGATCGAGCAGCAACAGCAACGTGCAGTGAAATGCAGGTAGTAGGTAGAAGAGAGCACAACGAGTGGGGCTCCTTTGACTCCAAAGCACCACGTTTTGAGGTCCATACCACAAGCTCGAGCCATTACTACACCGCTAAACGACTACAAACCACTACTACTAACAGCAGTGTCCTGACAATAAGGCATCAAATGGCCTTGAATATCCTGGCTGTATGGCACGATGAAGCAAGAGACTGCCCCTTGTCGCAACAATAGAGCACTAGCTTGCTGAATTCTTGTAGAGGGTGGCATGGTATCCGATAACGTACCCTGAGAAGACTTTAGCATACTACGTTGTCAGTGAATGAACGTACTGAGCGAATATCCATCGACATCAGGGAACGACCGGTCTATCTCGCATGGACGAAAGGTTGGGCAAAAATCGCTCAACGCACACAGTGTTGCCAAGGTTGAGGCATGAACGTCGCGAAGTCGGTATGGCCAGGTTCGCTGGTATAGGAACAGCATCGTCCTACATGTAAACAGTGTCCACAACTGAAAACGTTTGCCTAGGTCATTCAAATTTACCACCTGCGGCCTCGCCATTCGACATTCTACATGGACCAAATCTAGGATGTTTCAGCCATGCTTGTTGTTGTTATAGATAATCGCGAAGCATTTCAAGACTCGGCTGGAGAGCATAAATGTTGTCGTTGATATTTTGAGTGACAGGCAGGCAGAAAAACCTTCTGGTATTAATAGTAAGTAAGCTTAGTGTGTTTTTTTCATCAATTAGATAATATTACTATTATGGGAGTTTTTAGACTAGTAATACTACACAAGATATTACTAATTTGTGCCGACTTCTACTAATTACTAATATTTGCGGGCAAAATTTAAATTAAAAAATCTTGATATGTACTTCACTTTAAGTAACATTACATCAATATATTGCAATTGCTACTTCAGGATGGCTATCGATGTGCGACACACCACGGCACTCCTCTCGAAGACGAGTTCCTGTTCGCGTCGAGCCAGCCTGAGCCATGGCTGCGAACCGCACGGCCGACTTCACGCAACTCTGCCAGCACTATGCAGCCGCAAAGGGAAGTGCTGCTTTGCAGGTATACTCGTCTCTCTAGCATCTTCCAATACTCATCTCCCACCGCTACATATAACTCACAAACTTTATTCTCCTGTCCACGTCATAGAAACCTGTGCACACGCCGCTTCAAGAGAACGCGCAGTTCAACGCCGCAGCCTCCGATATCTCCAAAGAAGTCTACCAGGCCTCCAAGAGATTACAGCAGCTCACACAACGTATGTGCTTAATTTGCTGCAACAATGGATACAATGATGCTAATGCTATGGGTTTGCAGTGGTGCGGCAGAACAACATGTTTAACGACCCGACAGAGGCCATTAATGAGCTGGCGGCGCTAGTGAAGAAGGACATTACAGATATCAATATGCAGCTCGACAACCTACAGGAATACATCAATAGTAAGCGGCAGTCGGCGCCCTCGAGACAAGCGGCCAAGCACTCGGATGCCATCGTGTCTTTGATGAAATCCGAACTCATGGCCACGACCAGAGGCTTCAAGGATATTCTGGAGGTCAGACAGGATAATATGAAGCTGCAGCAGAGTCGACGTGCTCGGTATGGCAAGACAGCGTCCAGCGCACTGGGCAAACCTCTGGCCTTCAAGGCCCCACAGCCCCCAAGAAGTAACAATAGCCACACCGGTAGTTTGCAGGAAGTGAACCTGTCCAACACGCTACCGCGTCCAGGAGTTAGTACGGGTGACAATACGGAGATCCAGCCCCTCATCACTACCATGACACAGGAGCAAATCGTCGCAGAGCAGCAGAACTACACCGAGTCGAGAGCAGAAGCTGTGTCCCAGATTGAAAGTCACATTGTGGACATCGGGCAGCTCTTCGGACGACTGTCGACGTTGATTCACGAGCAGGGAGACCTCGTCAGGAGGTATATTCTTGCTTCAGAGGATTAGTTTATATTGGAGGTTTCTAACAGTGTATATGCTGCTGTAGAATTGATGACAATGTGGAGGAGTCGCTGGTGAACGTGAGCAGTGGAGAGCACGAGCTGCTCAAGTACTTCTCGAGCCTGTCGAACAATAGAATGCTGGCGCTCAAGATCTCCGCTATCTTATTGGTCTTCCTCATCTTCTTCATGTTCTTCTTAGCTTAAATCAAAATAAACCACGAGTGACCAACTATCGTCATGGAGTCCATTATAACGTTATTTCGCTTCAACTTGGCACTCAGCGATGACATTTAGTGTTTATCATGTTCGTCTTCGTCCGGTTTAATGGCGATGAAGCCTCCGAGCGCCATTGCCACGACAGTGGCGCCCTGGGCGAGCACACGTAGACGCATGAATTTCTGCTGTGTGGCAGCGTCGGCGGCGCGGCGGAACGAGGCCAGACCGCCCATCAGCACTCCTGCCGTGGCCAGACAGCCCAGCGGCACTAGCGGCTCCTCCTGGCAGCGACGCTTCATCTTCTGCCAGCCAGTCTCCATCGGGAACGCGTTCATCTTGATAGCTTTATCGAGCTTCTACTGCACCACGCGAGTTGATGAGTGCGAGCCATTATCGATATGAAGGATGCTGGTACACTGTACTATGTGACCAGCTACAATTCAGTCACGAATTGCGGTATCGAATTGCGTGTGTCAAGCCAATCCAAGAGCGATTCGAGTATCGATTTACAGCAGGTATAACATTTTGATTTTGTATCGACATGTGCTGTACTTTACTGTGTGGATAGAAAGGTATGTATTTTCAGCAGTAATTCACTCTCCACCCCTGAATTCAAACGAGGGGGCCGGCCTTACATTAGCCAAGTGACCTTCGCCACCTTTTCGCTAAGATGCTCCAGCTCCGTAAGCAAGTTGTGCGCCGCGCGCTGCAGACGCGTGCCATTGAATGGACCGCCATGTCGCAGAAGCTGACGGACCCGCGCGCTCGTGCTGCCCTCGACAGCCTGCGTGATGTGCACGGCCAGATCGCCGCCGAGGCCCGCGCCTACGTGAAGGAGCCCGAGCCGATCGACTTCGACTACTACCGCTCGGTCATCAAGAACAAGGAGCTGGTGGATGCCATGGAGGCTAACTACAAGAGCATCTCCTTCCCGACCATCACTCCCGAGGAGCTGGACGCCTCTGCCAAGTCTGCTGACCTGCCGGAGGAGCTGCGTCTGAACGAGCAGGAGACTGTCGACAAGCTCGTACGTTGTTTATACAATTATTGCACTTATTGTATAATACTAACGGATTTTTTTGTGAATACAGTTCGCCCAGCTGAACGAGAAGGTGGCGGACTCGAAGGCCCGCATTGAGGAGCTCAAGGAACTCATCGGTCTGATGGAGGAGACCCGCACGACGCTGGCTACGACCATGGACGAGGTGACGGCCATGTACCCGGAGGTTGAGGAGGAGATCGACGATGAGATCGCCAACCTCGAGTGGGAGAAGGACACGCAGTAAGATGCTCTTCATCTAAAGACAAGAGAAAAAAAATCTTGGACACTGCAGTCTTCTACAGGATACACAGATGCAAAGTGGACGAGAGAGGCTTGAGCAAGACGAGCAATTGAGCACGTACAGTACATCTCGGCTCTCGTGGGTTGGTGTACTCTTTAAATGCCAACTCTTCTCAACACGCAAATTGAAGTGGGTTTGCATGTGTCTCGCTCGCTGGCTCGTCCGTCTTTCACGTTAATCCAGTGATGTCTGCAGCTCGTAACAGGATTGATTCAACTATTTCAAAGCACAGCCCCACCACCTTAGCATAAAGCCGTGTATTAGACCATTCTTTTAGTTATTCGCGCGTGCGGTAGGCTTCCGGTACGCGGAAGAGCTGCTTGGGGTTCTTGGCTAGTTCGGTGTCCACGCAGGTGTTGTACGCCAGTAGAGCGTCCTTGCACTTGTCGAGGGCTACATTGCCCGCCTCCGGGTCAGACTCACCCTTGGGCTGCTTGCCGTGCTCGTAGAAGCACGCGAAGAACTTGGTCGCCACCTTTTCGCAGGGCTTGGGCACACGCGGGAAGTTCTCGCTCACACGCAGCTCCGTCGTGTCCGTCATCGTCGTCTAAAGGTCGATCAAAGTGTATCTGCTGATTGTAGGGTGGAGGTTTGAGTTTGCGAATAGTAATCGGCCTAGAAACGCGGGCATACAAACTTCAAGTCAAGGATTTGATGAGTGCATTGGCAAGAACAAGATGAGGTACTAAGCAACGAGGGATCTATAGCGCAAGTCCGAAATGTCTTTGTTTGTCCTGGTTTACTTTGGATTGACGTCCAACATTCGGTCTCTCTTAATCTATCTAGCACACAGTGCTGACGGTGTCCGACGTCTAAGTTTCATCAAGTCTCCACCTCTCGCGCTCTGCTGCGTCCTTTTGATCTTCTTCTTCGGCCGATCGTCTGTGTCCTGAAATGCATTCGATCGGCCTGTTATCTATTTGCATGAGAGCACAGGGGATATTAACTGCTCAGTCGTCAGATCGGCGAAAACTCCAGGGTGTAAAATGTAACAGAGTCAATGATGCACCACGCAATGCTCTTCCAGTCTCTCAATTGATAGCATGTACCAATGCAACTCGTCGAGCACCACGTGGAGCATCAAATTCTCAATATGCGAAGCAGAATTGTAAAACTTACGTTCCGTCGTCGTCTTCGCCGTCGAAGTACAGGAACTCTGACGATGTGTTGAACGCGACACCTGAGTCCAGGAACGTCGCGAGAGCGGCGCCCAGCGGCCGAGCCACCTAGTTCACCCAATAACCGACACTTAGCAACTCTGACAACTTCAAAACATCATCGCAATACAAACGCGACGTACAGCGCTGCCAAAGCGGTTTTTGCTGGTCTGCACCAGCTTCTCGATAGTGGCCGAGTTCTGCTTGCCCGCGGAGGAGCGCGCCATTGCCCTGGCCACTGCACGCGTCATCTTGAGCCGCTGCCCGAACCGGTAGTACGTCATGGCGTCCTCCTTCCTGTCTTCCTGGTGGTACAGTTGCTGCTGGAGCTACCGACTGAGCGGGATGGAGACAAAGAATTGGTGGCCGCATGTTGCGCTGCTGCGAGACATGTACCGATAAAGTGGTACATAATTGAACTGCATTGTGTAAGACACATTAGTTATGCAAGGATGTGTAGCCATTCCGGTCCACTACAGCACTGCAGAAATGCTAACGTGAACATGGTAGCATGATAAAGTGGTGTGCATTTATAACTATGAGCATTTCTCCTAGGCTTTATAGTTTGACAAGGCCTCCGTTGAACGTATAAATATGGCTTGATCTTGGTATTGCGATGTTGGACTTCTTCACGTTTTGTGAGTTGGAGATGCATTACTGGCAGGTGCGAACCAACCCCAAGCGGGATCGCTGCATTGTTCTCCGGGTGGACATTTGCCTTCGTGCAAACAGGACCAAACCTGCTCGACGTCGTGTTCTTGGAATTGCAATTCCTACAGAAAACACACAGTTTAGCAACGCTACAGTGTTACGTTCCTCGCAAGAGTTTGAGAAGGATCCAACCTCGTGGTGGGTCTTGTCGAACACGGAGCTGGCGCGCGAGCGGAGTCCACCGGAGCTACCGAGTGACGATTCCGTGCTGGCGGAGCTGGCGGCGGCGCTATGTCGTAGGTCCTTCTTCGTGTCGATCTTGAGCAGTCCAAGGTGCAGTGCAGTCACAGACCGTGCAATCTCGTCTTGTGTTGCTCGGCCATTGGCTGGATTGTCGTCATTTTCTTCGTCACTGTCCTCGTCGTATTGATAGTATTTGGCTACAGAGTAGCTCGTGAGCCCCACCACGACGCCCGCAGCGATCGCCGGGTTCTCGCGGAGCCAACGCACGCCATCCAGCACCTCAGCCGGTGTTGGTAGGTATGATGGAGATCCTATTTTTGTAAAAAGCTTCTCCATAGCACACTGCTCGCTCGTAATGCACTCTATTCGTTTTCTTCTCTTGGAGCCGTTGAATTTAGTTATGACTGTGCACTAGGACGAAAGCTGGTTTTACAGCTGGGTCAGCGAGGTAAGATGTTGACGCGCCGACCTCGCGATGAAATTCGGGACTCGTAACGGTTACTGCCCAGGTAAGGGCTCTCGTGGATCAGGCTTGCTGCGCTAAAACTAGACTCTTTGCCATCTTCATCTAAGGTCCGCATTGAAGTATTCAAGTAGGATAGCACATGGCCGAAGCAGCCTCGAAAGTCCGGCGGTCCAGGGCCTCGTTAAAGCGGCCTGAGCGACGGCATGACGGCCTTGAAATGCAAAGTCCATCCATGTTCAGTGCTTGTGTTTGAAGTTTGCCATGCACCTTTTGGCGAACAGTGTTCGCAAACACGGCGGGTCCTAAAGGGGACAAGCCGCACCCGCTTCTGAACGGACGCGTCCGCCGACTCAGTGCCGCCAGCGCCGACTGACGGCTGACGAGCCTCGCATTGGCACGTACTACGTGACGTATCCTCCGAAGTCTAACTAAGCGGGTGACAAGTGATGATCATCGGCGTAGTCTACAATCCCATGATCTCTGCGTTGCCCACAACTTCAACTTGGGTCGAAGCGGTTCTATTATGGCGACTACAAGCTACAACTACAACTCGCGCGTGTTGCAAGAGCTGCCTCGCAACCTGGAGCTTTCTCGACAGCTCGTTAATATACATACATGCAGCATATGCCGAGGCATCTTTGCATGTCCTCCTTGTGTAGACAATCTTGTTAAAACATGTCACGACTACCAATATCTTTTGAATTGACATTCCATTCTTGGGGCGACTAGTGAGGCCAATGCGATGAAATGTACGTAGCTTGACAACCAGCGATGACAGGGCATTTTTCACGTGAACTTCTTTCCGGTGGAGGCACTTCGCACTGAATTATCTCTCAGCGTATCGATCACGATTCAGGCTTCTGGATGCACCAGAAGAAATCAAACTAACAACAATCTCTTCGCAGGTAAAAAGTTCTTGGTGCATATTCCGTATCGGATTAATACGGATCACCAATGCAGGTGAAATTGTCTTTGAATTCAAGGTAGCCAAAACCACGGCAGAAGTATCAGGCTCAATTGAAAACATTGGTAGTATCATTATTTCTTAGATAAAAATACCGGAAACCGAAGTGTTTCATTCGCTGCCTGAGTCGACCTTTTCGTCATGTTCTCTATTAGTTTGGAAAGTGCGAAACATTATCCGGTCCATGAGCGGACCGGTGACGCCGTTGCGACCTTTATATGACGACTAACGCTAACGTAAATACTATAGCATAACTTCGCACTGGTCCTTTGGGAATCGGGCTTTCACGTTAAAGCCTTTTCTTATAAACGTAGAGACACTGGTATCGTAGCCGACTTTATATGGTTTTATGAATATAATTTGACAGTATTCAGTGCCATGTGTTCGTTTTGCCACGATTCCATCCTTTTTGTCGGCGAACAGTCCGACTTCCTGGCTTACAGCTTTTGCTTCCAAGTTGGATGTTCCTTCTATTTAACTTCGTCCTGGATATTTTCGCGGTTATGGGAGGACCCACGGCGGACTCACCGTCTCCCTCGTGCTCTTCGCTAGCGTCTAAAGCTTCTATGAGTGCTTGCTCTTGGTCAGTCAAAGGTAACAGCAACAACCACTTCAACTAACCTTTTTCAAGTTTTGACAACCCCTACCCTCATTGAACCGGTTCAGTGAACCGTGGACCGCCATTTGCTCCTCGACATTTTCCTCTCTTTTGACTGGCCGATAGTGCTGCGGGTGCTTGACTTGGCTTTTGTATGCTGTGACTTGGTTGGTCCGAAACCTCTGTGACCTCCTCCAGTGGGCATTCATTTTGCGAGAGGAAAGGTGCGTTGGCGCGTCAATGAGGCCGCTCTGGTCGCCTGTTCCGTCGTCTACAGGCCCCGTCATGCACCCAACGAGCTACTAGAGTCTGTGTTTATGCGCTGTCCATCAGCTCGTGCAAACAGCTCCATCAGACTCGATATACAGGCACAGGATTAGCACACACACACACACAGCGAATTGTTCATACAGGGCAGCGGGGCGTGATTCTAGACGACAGATTGGCGGCGAGAGCGTGGAATTTACGCGACGAAATAGAAAGCTGACAGGAGACTTTATCGTTGGCGTATTACAGGGAATCATGCAGATCTTTGTGAAGACCTTGACGGGCAAGACCATCACGCTCGACGTGGAGCCGTCGGACAGCATTGACAATGTCAAGCAGAAAATCCAGGACAAGGAGGGAATCCCGCCTGACCAGCAGCGCCTGATCTTCGCCGGCAAGCAGCTCGAGGACGGCCGCACGCTCTCGGACTACAACATCCAGAAGGGTGCGTGGTTAATTAACCGCGTTATTATTAGTTAAGTTGATAAGCTAATCTGTTGTATGTTGTTAACTGCAGAGTCGACCCTCCACCTGGTGCTGCGTCTGCGTGGTGGTGCCATTGAGCCCACGCTCGCCGCCCTGGCCAAGAAGACGAACTGCGAGAAGCAGATCTGCCGTATCTGCTACGCGCGTCTGCCGCCCCGTGCCACCAACTGCCGCAAGAAAAAATGCGGCCACAGCAACCAGCTGCGCATCAAGAAGAAGCTTAAGTAATTGCTCGGTCAACTGCTCTTGGCTTTTCCTCCTCGCGGAAACGGGAAGTGGAACGTACTCTCAAGAAACGCGCGACAGCAGTTTGCAGTATTGGTTTTCGTCGTTTAGGCTGCTGGTGGGTCAATGCGTCTTTCGCTGACTTGGTGCTCTGAAGGATGAACTACTGCTATGCAGCGAGGAACTCAATACACACAACTGTCGTTGCGTTCGGCCCCTCTCCAATCATACGGTTTTCTGTATTTTTTTGTTAATCTTTTTTTTTGTTTCTCGTAATATTTACTCAAGAATGCACCGTATCAACGATGACACAACTAAATGGTATTCTGGGTATGAGATCGAGGAAGTGCTGCATTCAATTTGAATCGTGCTTACCATGTCAAAACGTCCCAACTGTTGACTCCTTTTATCGAAACGCGTTTAACTTTGACTCTTTCCTTGCACTTCTCCCAACCGAAATCCAGCAGAAGACTGACCTTTGCTCACCACATTGGTTATCCTGCAGGTTTCCACGTTCTGCTCTTCGACGACGAAGAAAATTTCCACCTCGTCAATTTGAGGCATCGCGCTGTCCAGAAGGGGGTCGAGAAGTGTTCTGAAGTGATGAATGAGGTAACTGTTGGTCGCTCTTAGTCACTTGGACAAAACGATCCAAAAAATTCTCCTTGTCGATATAGGCAGCGCCGTAACCCCCTTGATTGTTTTTCTTCGGTTTCAGCCAGCACGTCCTCGGTAGCAGTGATAGCTTCTTCGGGTTATCTACATTAACAATCGTGCTTTTCGGAAAGTCAAGTTCTATTTTACCTTTCTTGACAGTAAGTCCGCGTTCCCGAATGCAAGTAACAAAGCACATTTCCAAGATCCACCCGTTCATCGCAGCATTCGAGTTATTTTTTTTTCTGAAGATGAGAGAAAGTCTTTTTATCAACTCAAGAGCCTCCAACAACGGCAAAGAGCGAAGTAGCATCCCGACAGTATCCTTTCCAAATCTACTGTAAAGTCGATTGATCACATCAGAGCCAACTGATGTGATACTGTTCACAGCTTCGACTGCTTGAGCCAATGACTCCATCGCGGTCGTTGTTGAGTAGCCAAACATGTATCAAGCGTTACCACCAGCAAAGTAATATTTTGATTTCACTAAATATCGTCGTGGCACTGGATGAGGCGCAAGTAATATTTTGATTTCACTAGCGCCTCATCCAGTGACCACGACGATACAATGTGCTCCTTGACCTTCCAATGTGCATCGTCATCCAGCTGAACTTTTCTGCGAGAAGTCATTGCTGTCACCATCACAAGTCGACGAGTAGCCGAGTTCTTTTGTAGACGCGAGACACAGACGCTTTGCTCTGAGCTATCGTCGTCTGTCACTCCATCAATAAATACCAAATGCCGCTTTGAATGCTCAACGTGACCCAATACCTTTATCAAGCCCTCGTAGTAAGGGAAGTCCACGATTCCAGTTCTCTTCGTATTTCCTTCCAGTCGAACACAAAGTAGAGGTGTGCTACGGTTAATATGAACCCATGTGATGACTCAATCGGTCGGAACAAAGCAAAAGCAGCAAGCAGTAGTTGACTTGCCCGATCCAGGTGGGCCCAAAACGTAACTAGTCATTCCTGTATGCAAGACATCGTCTCGGAGAAAAGCCAGCAGCTTGCCAGCTTCATGACGAAGATACAAGCACAATTTTCCCCTGGACGTTCACGCAGCCCAAAACCCAGCAATAGCAGTTAAATCAAGCTTGCAGACATTGTCTTCATCAAGCGGTATCGTTGTAGCAGCCTTTGCGCGGTATGTTTCGACGCAGCGGCACTTCCACGATGAGAACATTCTCTATAGAATCACCATACGAGGCAATTGGTAGATCCTCATCCAAAGGCTGGCGTGTTGAGCTATAATCACGTCGCTGTTTTCGTAGATGCACATTTGACTCGGCTTCTCTAGATGGCCAAGCATGTCACCTCGCGGCCGGTTTCCATCGTCACAATCGGAGTAAATTTTGCGGCGAAAGACGTCAATATCCTCGAGGCCAATAGACTGAATCGCACTTGGTGCCAGTTCCATCGTCCACCAACAGATACCAAATTGTCCGAGACATCACTTTCCGACAGTTGAACCAAGTAATGTAACATTTGACAAGTAAACATAAAGTTGAGAGTGGAAAAACTCCAGGATGTCATGTTGAAACCAATTTCTACACTACCCCCTAAGTTTCCCTACCAGCTAGAACCTTATACGACAGCTAAGGCCCTTAAGACGCTTAGTTGCCCACGGCCCACACGCGGACGATACCGTCGGTGTAGCCCGAGAAGAGCACAGAGCCGTCGGCCGACCAGGCCAGCGAGATGCAGTGCGGGGGCTGAGCGTACTTGCCCTTGGGCTCCTCGATCTCGGGCTGCAGGTCGTGCACGACGATCTTGGACTCGAGGTCCCAGATCTTGATGCCCGACGTGGTGGCAGCGCACAGCCAGTAGCGGTTGGGCGAGAAGATGAGAGCGTGGATGACGTCGCCAGCCACCAGCGAGTACAGACGCTTGCCCTCGTTCAGGTCCCACAGGTTGGCAGTGCCGTCCTTGCCACCCGAAGCGCAGATGGATCCATCCGGGGACACCGTAACCGTGTTCAGGTAACCCTCGTGGCCGAACAGGTTGGTGCGGAGCTTGCAGTTGGACAGGTTCCAGATCTTGACCACCTTGTCCCAGCCGCACGACACGATGAGCGGGTTGGCAGTCGAGGGCGAGAAGCGCACGCACGAGACCCACTCGGTGTGGCCGTCCTCGGTGATGGTGTACTTGCACTCACCCAGAGTGTTCCAGAGCTTGACGGTCTTGTCACGCGAGCCCGAAACAATCTGACGGTTGTCGGCGCTGAAGGCCACGGACAGAACGTCCTTGGTGTGTCCCACAAAGCGGCGCGTCGTGATGCCCGTGTTCAGGTCCCACAGACGCAGAGTGCCGTCCCACGAACCGGACAGAGCGAACTGGCCGTCCGACGAGATCACCACGTCCTCCACGTAGTGCGAGTGGCCCTGCAGGCGGCGGCGAGCGAAGCCGTACTCCTCACCGTCGTTGGACAGTTGCCACACAAGCAGCGACTTGTCGCGCGAGGCGGTCAGAAGCAGGTTGGGGTTCTCGCGGGTGGTGGCGATGGCCGTCACGGCCTTGCCGTTGTGGCCGTCAAGCTCGGCGCGCGGGTAGATGCTGGTCTCGGCCATGGTGGAGGTTTTTCCAAAGTGGGGGGAGTTTACGGTAGGGCACCCCCCCCCCCTTTGAATGACCACCAGTCAACAGAGACAAAAACGATTGGATGAAAAGTTTAGAATAATCATCGGATTACACAGGTATGCTGTTGACGAAATGTAGCCATGTTTTGTGCACAGCCCAGTTCTCATCATGTACATACGCTTGGAAATTTGTCTCTAGCGTCCATAAATCAATCCGACTCCCTCTGCACACTTGTCGAATAATGCGTCTGGGGCAATTTGTAGTGGCGATCGTGGCTGTTCTACTTGCTGGCGTTGCTGCCGAGAGAAATCGTCATAATTTGTTGCCGCTTGACGATGTGGAAAATGAAGAGAGACGCGAGTCTAACAATGGAGCCATCACATCTGGACGCGCGGTCTCCGTGACAACGACGGCGGTCAACAACGACGGGGGCGGGACGGTGACTGTCGCGACGTACAACAATAACGGACTGTGGCAGCGGATCAAAAGGTGGTGGAAGAAGCTGATCGGGTATGAAGAGCGCCTCCAACTGAGTGACCGGTCGTCCGGAATCGGACCTCGTGTAGGCACTGGAGGCACGGTTGTCATTTCTGACAATGATAAGGGAGGAGGTACAGTGACTGTCACGGTTTTCAACAACAACGGTCTCTTCCAGAAGATCAAGAGGTGGTGGAAGCGCATCTTTGAGCATGAGGCTTCCAGATCGGCTCGACGTCTAAGAGCAGTGTAAACTGTGAATGCCGCTGCCGAGCTCGATAGTTCGAGACTATTTTCAATAATTGAATTTCAGAGATCACAGTTAGCATAAAGTTTCATCACCATCAAGGCCTTCGCTAGCTGAGACGACATGCTTTTTAGCTTGTAGTTTTGTTGTTGAGAAGTCGATCACGCTTGCTTTAGTCTTCTCAAACGTACTGTTTAGTCGCACAGTGATACATTCCGTCTCAACACTGGCAAAAATTAATAGCGCTAGATAATCTATTCCTCTACAAAGCAATTTAGCTCAGAAATGAACCCTAAGAAATAATCAGACCTTAGGTTTTAATTTGATATATTTATTTGAATGAAGTGCACCTCTGTAAGCGTAAGGGTTCAAAACACTAACATGAAACAACATACAAAGGGCAAAAAGTCATGCATTTCAAGTTATAAACTTCTACTGGTAGTTAATCACGAGAGTAAGATGGTCAGAGGCTGTGTTCCGATTTTTCTCTTTCGTTTATTTTTTGAGTGAGCATGGAAGCTATGTAAATGAAAAAAATGTGAGCCATTCTCGACGTAGGGTAATAAGAGTTATCGCATTGCTTCCTTACGAGCGTCACTGCAAATTGCAATCGAAAGGAAACCTGCTTGCATCTCCAACGCAGCTACCAAGCTCTAAGTCACCAATAGAATCCGTCACTTTACTGCCGTTATATCTGCGGTGATAATCTTGGGAATTGGCGTCCACTTGCAGCCGCCGGCGGGCTGTCGAGTGGTTCAATACTTGCAAACGTTCGTACTGATACACATGCTTGCCAACTTCGAGACAAAGTGTCAAAGTCCGCGAAAGCTCTGCGAGTGAGAATTGACGAGCCCCGTCTGCAAGTATCTCGTAATGATCTCGTAATGGTGTGCGGATCGTGTTCTACGCTTCCAAGTATCAGAGTCAATGCGGGAGAAAACAACGGCACTGTCTTTCGTCATCGCTTGGAGCTCTGTAGCTCAAGAATAAAACTACAAAATGGCTGTTTCATTAAGAATATTTGTGAAATACAGATATCCTGCTTATTTTTTTACCACGCTTGCTGAAAATTGAAGAAGTGCAAGCTTGATTTGGGAGGTCACCAAGATGCAGTTTAGCTTAAATATTTTGGGTTGACGTGCGAGTAAGTACTACCGTTTGCTTTTACAAAACATTATTGTCCAGCGTGCCATTCACAATTCAACTAGTGCAATATCCTTTCTCATGATGAAGAAGTTTTTGAGATTAACTGTATGATCATTTTCACCGAATGCAGAGCGTCTCATTCTTCTTTTCGTTACCGAAACGACAACATGGAGCCTGACGAGAGCAACGCCATTCGGTGGGTTGGCCTCCAGCTTGGAAGTGTTGCGTCTGAAGCCTGTGTGCAAGCAGTGAGTTGCTTCCTAGGGATCCGCGATGTCGAATACCGTGGAGATGTTCTCTTGAAGAACTTGCTTTCTACCAAGCGAGTGCAACTACTCGCAGTCCAAGATGCGGTGCTCCGCTTCTTGGTGAGTCTCCCGCACCAGGAATGGACTGTCATTGGCTGCGAATTTCTACTTGAGACTGGTGGCCGGTGGAATGCTGTTGCTGTGGCATCACTGCTGGACAAAGTGATGGCTCAGGCGCAGGACAAGACGCTGATGCTTGCTGAAATTTGCTGGATCCGTAGCGTGTCGCCCTCCGCTCGAGCACTAGCCAGTAATGCTCCTGTTACAGTCTCTTCAGTGTTGAATAACGACATGCTGTTCGCTGCCGAAGACTACTTCCTGTTCGATGAAACTCGCCGATGTGTTTTCTGCTGGGCTGACGAGTGGGAAGCTGATCAAAGCAAGGAGATCTGGCGGTTTGTGCCCGCCGGTCCCAGTTTCACGGACTTTTACATCCTCAATGTGCACTCGCAGGAGTACTTGTTCGCGTCTAACGTTGCTGCTTTGGAGTGTGCTGAAGGTTATGGAGAGAAGAGGGCGTTTACGTGGCGTGGAGGTGAGCTGCCAAGAGAGGGAGGATTGTGGCGTTTGATCCCTGTGGACGGGGCCTTTGCTATCTACAACGTGTCCCAAGACACGTACTTGATCTCGCCACCAGCTACGGGTTCTGCCTTCCGTCGTTTGGTGCTCACAAGCAAGTATCGTCCTCTGGATCAGTCGTGGAATGAGTGCCACACGTGGGGCATCAAGCCAGCGGCCCCGTCGCTGCTGGAACGAGGCCTGGACGCTTTTTTCGTGAAGGACTACACCGCCGCAGTGGACTTGTTTACTTCTCTTTTGGATACTGAGAAACCTTCTCCTGCTGCGAGCATCAAGGTCTATTGGTACCGCATGGTGGCTAACTTGAAACTGCAGAAGAAGGAGCTGTTCCGTGAAGATGCTGATCGGCTTGGAAAGGTCGGAGGATGCCCCAAGTTCTTTCTGGAGGTCACCAAGGATGTCCTGGGCGAGGACTTGACCGTTATCGAGAGTACCGAACTGGCGCAGTACGTTCGCTCTAAGTAAGCTGTCAAGGTCTGGATGAAGCGCATACTTTGTCGTAGTTTGAAAGAGAGTGGAGATGCGTAGAAAGACAAGGTCTGCGCAACGAGACAGCTTCGTGTTTATTTGTTTGTATCTGTCAGTGTATAGTTTCAAAGTCGCGCATTCGATGTGTAGGATTTTACGGGATCTTGATGACTTCTTACGTTGTAAAAGGTTCTTCTGAGAGTGACGATAGCTCGTTCGAGCACGAAGGCCGTGTCTTCGAGAGCCCCGAGCAGCGTCTGATGAAACCCAAATCAAAGTCGGTGACGGTCCGGTTACGCGTTCAAGTTAAAGATGGAGGCGTGTAGTGGGTCGAAACTCGAACACACGCGAGGGAAGCTGGCGCTTCCGTTTAACCTTGATCTATTGCTTGCTTGTTCTGAAGTAGAACACAAACTGCCCTACTTATCACTACTCTGAAAAGGAGAAAAGCACATCGTCCTCAACTATGTATATCTCGTCTATGCCAGCTCGGCCGCACGTCCTGTGCGGCCCAGTGCAGTGGGCAAGGCTTGGTCTCCAATGCACCAGCCACTACACCGCCCCATCAAGCCTTGACCACTCTATGATGCCTTGAACACACAAAGCCCAATCATGTTGCTTGAGTGTTGCTCGAATGTTTTGCTTGAATGTAGAAGTTGCAGTGATCATCATTCTGGCGGACTTCAACTTGCAACTGTTGCAAATCTGGTAGACCGTGTCACGTGTTTTAAGAGACTGCCTCCCTTAGTTCGCTCAGCGTACGCACGGATCATCACTGGTATGTCCTTCCAGAGTGATTGCAGCGGTTCCCATGAATCTTCAATGGGCTCTAACCCTTTCCACGACACAAGAAGCTCGTAGTCCTTCTTAACTGCGCACCACCTGTGCTCCTTGAGCTCAGCGACCGTCAGCACAATTCCTTGAGATGCAACATGCTCGATAACTTCCTCAGTCACTTCGAAGTCCTTGTCAGCGTAATACTTTAGCCGAGACGCATGCACGTCCGACTCTGCACCCGTGGCGAGGTGTCGGACCACAAACGAGTGCACATCCGCTTTCACGATCTGGTACGATCAATCCACGTCACCAATAACTTGTCTTGATGCTTCTGGTCTACTCGAGAACGCAAAACGAAGTCACCTACACTGAAGTTGGCCTTTTTTGCACCGCGTTGTCCCTTCTTGTTCCTCTGGGTCTGTCGGTCTCGCTCTACTGCCACGGCTTTGTGCATGACGTGGATACTCTCACGAAGATCACGTAATTTCCTGCCTATCACGTCAGGCTGACTGGTCATGTCAATGATTTTTTTCTGCTGGGATTCCACGATGAAATCCAAAGGGCTCGGTATCGGTAGTCCACAGAAGAGTTCAATAGGTGCCTTGTTGCCCAATGAGGGCAGCGGGGTGTGGTTTATGTTTGCCCGGAGCAGTGGTACCAGTGAAGTCCAGTCTTTGATGTTCTTTTTGTGCTCTAGACACATCACTCTGAGTACTTGGATCACGTCACGGTTGACACGCTCGATACTACCGTTGATCCAGGGACTGTACGCCACGGTGAACTGCTGCTCGCTCTTTAGCCGCTTGCACACCTCGGCGACCACCTCGTTCTTGAAGTGGGAGCCTTGGTCGCTAATCCAGACGGGCGGAATTCCGTACCTACTGTGCCAATCTAGAATAGCTTCTGCAGCCACGACACTTGTAGGGACAGCACAGGGCATCAATTCACAGTAGTGAGTAGCCTCATCTTTGAGTACCAATAGATACCGGTCACTGCCGAAGGAATCACCGACAGTGAGAAAGTCCCAATGCAAAGCACCGTTACGCTCGTAACATCGGTACGTCTCGCTCCAAGGTCGCTGCACTATCTTACCACCCTTGACGTGGTGGCAAAGTAGACAGGAAGCAAGAAATTTGTCCACTTTACTACGTAAATTGGCCACATAGAAACTTCTCTGTAGTAGTTCCATCATTGCCGCTCGTCCTCGATGTCCTTGTGCTCCACAGTGAGCCACAATGAGTAGTCGTTGAAGTAAAGTCTCTGCATTGCCAGGAATCCACAGTCGCTGGCTGTGGTACCAGCCCTTGCCAGTCCCACGGGTAAGGAATTTGCTGGGCACAGTGTCTTTGAGTTGCTCTTGAGTTCTAACAATCTCATCCAGTGTTGGCCACGAAAAATCCGGGTCATCAAGCGGCCTTATGGCCGCAGCAGCAGCTCCTGCTACCGCTTTGTTGCTGTCAGTTCCGAGGTTACCGCGCTTCTGCCGTGTCGACGGGGTCCTGTCTACCTCCCCTCTTCGGTTGTCTTTTTGGGTCGTTGGGGTCCTATCTGCCTCCCCTCGCCTGCGCTTCCTCTTGTTCAGCTGGGTCCTGTCTTCCTCCCTTCTCCTTCGTTTCCGTAGCACCATGGCTCTCAGAGCCACACCGGGTTGGTGATTGCCAGCCCACCTTGACACCATGTCCGCCCACACATTGCTTGTACCTTCAATGTGTTCAATTTGATAGCGGTATTCCATCAACTTGACGGCCCACCGCAGCAATTTTCCACGGATATGCTTCTTTACCTCCTTTCCAGGCGCAAAGACGTAAATTAAGTTTCGATGATCGCAGAACAAGCGGAATCCTTGGGGCCGCAGGAGCAGATGACTGAGCTGGTCGCATGCGCAGATAATCGGGTACGCTTCTTTTTCAATAACGCTCCAATTGCGGTTTGATCCAGTGAATGTTCCACTAACACACACTAGAAGCTCGTGGTTTTGCTCTGCCACAGGCTTTCCAGCTTGCCATGCTCGTACTTGGGTTACAATCAAACCATAACCAACGTCCGAGGCGTCAGTGATCAAGCACATCTCAGCATCTGGGTGGGGAAAAGCTAGGACGGCAGAGCTTTCCAGTTTGCCCTTGAGCTCTTCAAATGCTCGCCGATCTTCATCCACAAACTCCAGTCCAATGCCTGAGGCCACTCGCTTCGTACGTCGCGTCGCTGACGCTAATGCAGTGTCTAGCTTTTCCTGCAACGGCTTAGCCACTCTCGCAAAGTCGATCACAGTTTCACGCATCCAATTAGCTGCGCAGAGGAACTGCTGCAACTCGCCAGCGTTGGTGGGGTACGGTAGCGACGTCAGAGCTTTAATACGTTCAGGGTCATGGCTCACTCCGTGGCCGGTGATAATCTTACCGCACCACTTCACCTGAGGCTCGTACAAACTCGACTTGGTGACGCTCAACTTAAATCCAAAGAAGTCTAGGAGTTCAAACAGTCTCTCGAGTTTCACAAGGTAGGTCTCAACATCTACTGCGTACAGCAGAAGATCGTCAATCCACACGAGAAGGTGTTGGTGCAGCAGCTCACGTAGGCAGTTCTCAATCGTAGCCTGAAAAAACAGCGCCGCGTCACAGCTTCCCTGTGGCACACGCTTCGGTGTGTAGATCCTGCGATCCGTCATGTAGGATAGTATTTCCTGACATGCCTCGTCCAAAGCAATCTGCCAGTAACCCTTGATGAAATCGAACAGGCCGAAAAACTCACAGTCACGCACTAACTCCAAGTCAACCTGCGGGTTTGGCATCACACCCACAATTCCTTCCACTTGAATGTTCACCGGTTTGTAGTCGGCCGTTTGTCTGTAGTCAGTGCTTCCAGGTTTCCGTACCGGTAGAGCAGGGCAAGCCCACCTGCTATTGGGGTTCTCGTAGATCCAGCCTAGTTCCTCCAACTGCTTGTTAAAGTTCTCCATAAACAGTCGAACTTCCGGTGGATACTTCTTCGCCTTGCACTTGTAAGGTTTGGCACCTGGCTTGAGCCGAATCCGCATCGGCGGAACACGAGCAGGAGGGTCGTTGCCAAGCTTCGACCTCCAGATGTCAAATCGCTTTGCAATCCGCTGCAGTTCAGCCAAGCGACTCACTGGAAAACCACGGGCTTTGGCCTTCTCAACCATTTCATTCACTAATTGCTCCAGTTCATTACTCAATTCCGGTCGGTGACTTATTTCAGGTTCGTCAGGTTCATCATCATCTTCCTGCTGACCCTGTAGAGCCAACATTTCCAGCTCTTTGTCCACGTCGATGCCGAGAGAAACTAACATGTCCCTGCCGAGAAGAAATTCCTCGAGTTCACCAGGCACAATAAGGCACTGCACCGGTGAGTTAATTGAAACTGGTCCTGCTGCAGTCCTTAACATGACGTGAACATTTACTGCTCGTCTCACATCCACATCGCCACTCACTGTTGTGCAAGGGATCGGAGTCTCCAACTCCACGCACTCAATACTCGGGCACAACTCCTTCAATTTTCCAAACACACGCTCACTAATACTGGTCATCGTCGCTCCACTATCCGCACAGAGGGGAACGCTTAGCACTCCTTCCAATAGCACCGTTCCTCCTTCTGAGGGAAAACACTCACGAACTCGACACAGTCTAGCCACGTTTCTTCTGCTGTCGGGCTTTGAATTCGGCACGTCGCTTCTCACGGATGGCTGCTTTGTCGGCTTCAGTCGCTGTCGGACAGTTGATAAATTCGTGCTCTCCTTCACAATGAAAGCACTTTTTGGGATGTGGCGGACGGGAGAACTTGCGCTGCTCAGGAACTTTTGCCGGGACTGCAGCACTTCCTTTAGTACCAGACGTAATTCCAACCGTAATAACTGGTTTTTTGCTGTTTACCTTCAAAGTTCCCTTCTTGCTGAAAGCCTTACCTTGGTTTGCATCCTTGACGTTCATCTTCTTCACAGCACGGGTCTCCTTCTCTAACTCGAGAGCCAAGTTGTTCACGACAGCGTACAACTTTCGAATAGTCGATTTGGCTTCGCCACTGCGATAATCCAACTCATTCTTCACCTTCTTCTTCAAAGGTCCGGGGAGAAACTTCACAAGTACCTTACATTTTCGTTTGACCCCGTCCTCACCTAAGAAGAGATCACCAACACCGTTTCTTTTGATAATCTCGTTCGCCAGGTGGAAATATGCCGTAACACGGGCTTCAACATCGGAGATGGTCAAGTCAAACTTCAATTCGTCACTGAACAAGTCGTCCATATCAGGTAGTTCCTTGTTCATAAAACTTGAACTTGCCGTGATCTCCTTGATCTTCTCCATGAGAAACGCGTCGGTCACACTCTCGGGATATGCATCCCAACGCGTCTCACACATCGTCTCGAGCAGGTTTTCATCAAACGAGTTACGCACTGAGCGCATCACCGCCTTGACATCTTCGTTAGCTGCTCTGCATCTCGCTACGATGACAGCCTCGTACTCCTTACGGAGTCTCAGCCACTCCAGCAGCGCTTCACGCGATACATTAGCGATCAACGGGGCGTTGACCATGGCGAAGATCGGTTGAGGTACACGCGGCACAGTCGTCGACATCACGGCCGAGTTATCCGTGCTCGCATCACCTCCGATTTGCTCGTCCTGGTGACGAGCGGTCGTCTCTTGGTTCACTTGACTTGCCGTCATTGTTCTTGTGTTCAGTCGCACCTTCGCAACTAAAGATATCTTTGTAGTGGGTCGAAACTCGAACACACGCGAGGGAAGCTGGCGCTTCCGTTTAACCTTGATCTATTGCTTGCTTGTTCTGAAGTAGAACACAAACTGCCCTACTTATCACTACTCTGAAAAGGAGAAAAGCACATCGTCCTCAACTATGTATATCTCGTCTATGCCAGCTCGGCCGCACGTCCTGTGCGGCCCAGTGCAGTGGGCAAGGCTTGGTCTCCAATGCACCAGCCACTACAAGGCGTTTGAAATAGGCGGAATATCGACCCCACTGCTCTAGATGCACTTCAATTCCTTGCTCAACGCCGTCATCGGCGCAGCCGAAATAGGTGGTCGTGGCGGGGAAAGCACACGGATGTCGGCAACGGACCCTCGAGGCACTACGCATCCGATCACACCAGAGGTCATACTGCGTGATGCTTCACAACGCTCGAAGATGTTGAAAATACGGTTCATGACAAGTGATCACGACGCCCCTTTTTTCTCCAACGTGACTATGAATACAATGGAATGCATAATCGAATACATTTTAGTGTTAGCATCGCTCTTTTAAGCACGCTTATCAAAGTGGTGATGATGAATGATGGCCTTCTTTTTTGATTAGTTACATTTTCTGAAGAAGCCTTATTTGCATGAAAACACGAGACACACAAGCACGTTTATCAAAATGAGACGGGACCGTAGTACGTCGTGTATTAATAAAGTCTAGCGATTAGATACGGAGTATCCTGCATGGCAGCACAGACATTATATCGTTCCGAAATGTCGACTGAGTTACAGGTAACATTAGTAGACCTTCATGAATCCGTCAGTTTGGATGGTCTTCGTTCAACTTGCTGTGTGTGCCGCGTCAAATAGACTTAAAAAAATCTGTGAGCCTTATTATGAAAGCGCGGAGGGAGCTGATGCAGCAGTATACGGATACTGGATGCATCTGCCTAGCTTGTATTTGACTTGGTCCTGAAATATGTAGATAATGCAGCCTACAAGCTATTACTACACATCTTCTCCGAGCCCCAATTGCTTGCGACCTTACTTGGCGGCAGCAAAAGAGTAGCTAAATCAGGAGCACCAACCCACAATGGCCATGCCTCTACGTACGCTACTGTGTGTAGCAAATAGGGAAGGTTTTTCTTGTGTCGTATTCAGACATGACATAGATTTATTAAAGGATAGTTTATTTAGGCTTAAAATCAGACCAGCGGTCATAGCATAATCGCTTGATTTGCCAGTGGTAGGTATGCACGAGCCAGCAGAGGGTACGAAGGTACTAATAATATTCCTTTGGGGAATACTTTAGGATGAGCGTCACTTCTCAATTTACCGCCAAACGAGCAGTTAACATTATCATTGAAATGTGTGTCTTGCTCCAACGAGAAGTCTGACAGCTTTTCGACTGCTGCATTGAATTATACGACGACAGAGAGCTCGATAATGATGGAATTATCGCTAACTGTAAATGTATGTCCGACCTAAATCCTGGTCGTGTCCGAACACGATAAAAAAAGAAACAGTTAAGCAGCGAATAGAATTGCCCTA